GGGGAGAGTCTGTCTCCAGTAGGACAGAGCGGCCTCGTCTTACAGAAAACCCTACGCCTTATCCTGACTCCAATAAACCTCCCAGCAAGGCTCCTAGTAGTCCAACTAGGTCTATTGATTTTAAAGATGACGAGTCATTTATTGAGGTGAGGACAATTGTACTCTGAAAGGGATTCAGTTTACAAATGCAGAAAACAGTAAATATGTTGGCTTGAGTTTACGGTTTTATTTCTACAGGATGTAGAGCTACTCCAAGTAGATCTTACCCAGCCAGCAGAAGAGACTAAAGCATCTGATAAACCCGTAAAGATCAAGGAGGAGGTGCAAGTAAGTGTTCAGGAGAAAATCTGTAGTTTTTTTGCTCCTGCTGAAACATCAAATCCTGCTGAACAGAGAAAAGAAACGTGTCTCTTAGTTTTGTCTGACTTTGTTGAGTCTTTTTTATAAATAATTGGATATTTGAAAATGAGCTTATTGAGGTTAACATCCTGTTTCCTGTGTGATCTGAGTAAGTTTCCTCAAGTTTAGTGTTTGATCAATTATGCTGCACTTAAATGCATACAGATGTTACACTGCAAAAACAATCTAGAAATAGGTAGAAATGTCTCAAATCAAGTGTATTTTCCCTTAATTTTAGTAGTTAAATGGGATGATTTGCCAATGGAATGAGTATTTTTGCTATTGAAATACAATAATTAGATAATATGCACTTGTAATAAGACAATGCAGTTGCTTTTCTTATTTTAAATTTATTTGTCTTGTTCCATTAGCAAAGTGTCTCACTTACCTCCTCAATTCAAGAACAAATGTACTTAGTTTAAGAAAAAAAATACTTATTAAGATTTCAATTTTTTGCAGTGTACAACATTTGACGATCAAGTTTGAGTTTCCTTTTTAACACAGACTTACGAAATGAATCTTTTGAGGAGTTTTTTTTTTTCCAAGGAATATTAATTTGTTTAGTTCTGAGTTGATTTCCATGCTTTTCCAGGAGACTAAGATCGATCCAGACCTTCCCAAGCAGCTGCTGATGGTTGAGTTCAGGTCTCTCACTGTTTCTGTGCCCACAAAACCCAAAGCGGGACAGGCCCAGCAGAGCGGACACGCCAAGAACTTCAAGTGTTTCCGAAAGGTCGGACTTTAATCTGACACGTACAATAAAGGCTCTAATTGTAGTACAGTCTCAACAGTCATTCCTTTTCTCCTGTTAATTTGGACTAAAGAAAATTATTTTGATTTATTCTGACCAATAATTCAATGCTGCCCAAAAATATTCATAAACACTTTTTTGCTCTTATCTAATTGCATCAGAAGCTAAACAGTATTTCCTTTATTGTTAGGCCAACATAAGGCCCCGTTCCTTTGAATGAAAATGTTTTCCCTTTTAAAAGTCATATAATATCTCCAGCCTTTGTAGTCTACGTGTTAATGCAGTTGTACATTTATACTTAAAGGCCATTTTTAAGTGTTTATTTAATCTGATTACCTCTGCATGTTGTGTGACAGAAACACCTTCCAGGCTCAGAGAGTTTCCCTCACATCATCGGAGGATCTGATCTGCTGGTTCACAACAGGGGGAAGAACTCTGATATGGACGAATGGCTAAAAGACACAGCTGAGGTACCAATATCCCTCCTGCTTGGTTATTTCTGTCTTTTCTGGGATGACGGGTCTCTGATTTAAACCGATGTTCTTCCAGGAGGAGCGTCAGAACAGGAGAGATGAAGCCATAGGAGACGATCTGTTCAGGTAAGAGACTGGAACATGTTGCTTTTTAGAAAATAATCTGAAGTTTCCAAACATAACTGGCCCCAAAGAGCCAAATAAGGGTTATCATTAAATTGCTGCAAGGGTTATCATTAAATTGCTGCAAAAGTTCATTTAAAGTTTACAAAGTGGCTCACATTGCAAAACAAATGGGAGTAAAGTTGTAACACCTGCTTTTTATTACTGACATAATGAAATCAGAAGTTTCATCCAGGCAGAGGCAACTCGCCCCTTTAAAGAGTTGATATATAAAAATGGGTTTGACATGCCTGCTTCAGAATTTTGGATGAATCTAGACGGATTTTTTTTTTGTTACTTAAACTTTAGTGTTTTTGTTGAACAGAGACTAGAAATGTCCCTCATTTGCTTTTTGTAACCTTTAAAAAATATTTCTAAAGAAACAGCTGGCAAAAAAGAAAAAGAGGTTTGCATTCTTAGGCAATTTACTCTATGTTTCAGATGGATTTTCCGAAAGGCAAGCTTTTAACGTCATTAACCAGAATGATACATTGGCCTGGGCTTTATTTTTGGCGATACTAGCGTTTTTTTTTTTTTTCTTGATTCGTATAATCTGACATGCATATATATATATATATATATATATATATATATATATATATATATATATATATATATATATATATATATATATAGTTCACATGTCAGTGCGGTTTTAGATTTTAATAAAAGGAGGTTGAGTTCAGTTACACGATACATATATATATTCAATATATATATATACAGTTACACTATATATATATATATGTGTATGTATATGTAACTGAAGCTATTAGTTTAATGGTTCCTAATGATGGGAGGCGCCCCAGTGTAAATGAAGGGGGCGTGGTAAAAATGAATTGAAGTGATCCAGTTTTTGCAGTTTTTTTTTTTTTTATCTTATTTATTGATAATGATAATATTAAATTTGTTTACATATTGGAATAAACAGGTGTTATTTGCATTTTAAAGTTTGGTTTATTGTGACTGGTTTCTTTTTTTTTGCAATATTTAATTTTCTGCTTTAGACTTTTTTTTGTTTGAATGAGGGGCCACACTAACTTGCTTGCGAAAAATGGGAGCTCAGATGATTTGATTGTTTTTTTGTTTAAATTTAGACTTGTGTAAAGTTTGAAATCATTGTGTCGTTTTTATCATGGAAATGGATGGACTCTATGACTCCATGAATATCAGCAGCGCATATCAGGGATCATTTAAGCTGAAGTCAAAATAAAAATACCCCGTTTCCATCGAGTTCTAATATTAACAGGCAGCATCCGTTTTGTGATTAAGCACTGTTTCTTAATGCCAACCATGTTGTACTGCTATGTTTGGATTATTTTCTTGGTAGAATGGAAACTGCTGCATCGGTTGTGAAGTTTTTTAGGTGTATATGCAGTTTGTTGTATTACAAATGCAACATACCGGCTCAAACAGATTAAGTTGTTCATCAAAGTCGATCAGCCCCTCAAAAGGCTCCCACACTGGCTGTAGCTGTTTGACTTAAAAACCAGTCCCATCTCTGTTTTCTCCAAATCTAAACTAGTTCAGTTGCTCGGCTCTCAGGCTACACTCTAGGTATGTAAAAAAAAGTCCATGAGGCCAATAAATAGCAGCCACAAAAGTTCACTTCTTGCTACGCTGAGGAAACAAAAAGGGTAGGGGTGAGTGGAGACTGATGCACAGGAGTGAAACTTTTAATATTTCTCAGTTTTTTAGCAGAAAAATAAGGAGAAGCAATGAAAAAAAAATGCACTCTGATCAAGCCCATCTAAATTTATCACATGAATTATTTGTATCATGCAATTAATTGATTTATTGCTTTTAGGGACATAAGGGATGATAGGATAAATTAGTTTGGGAACCAAAGCTGCAGTTCAGTGTGGCATAAAAAGAAAGAGCGGATATGTAGAAAAACAACCTCTTAGGAGGATCTCTGATACTAAGGCCCTGACTCCATTAGGAACCTTGTGAAAGTGTACAGGAAACATGTTAAAGTACTTGGACTTTTGATAAAAAAAAAATATATATATATATATATATATATATATATATATATATATATATATATATATATATATATATATATATATATGAAAAGGCTATCATCATATTGATGATAGCCTTTTCCAGAAAACTGAACAGTAGTGTTTTCTTGGATCTTTTGAGCTCTACAAAGATCCAAAACATGTTGACGACATCACCAGGAAAAGTGTTCACTGGTAACGGTCAACCTTTTTTCCATGGTGATGTCACCCCTCAGACCTTAATCAAATAGAAAACATGTGAAGTGAGCTGAAGGGAAGATAGGCTGACCGATGTTAAATGTTACCAATAAAGACTAAACATGCTCCTATTAGCCAAATGATTTCTGTTACCTCCTGAGATAATTATTACAATTAAAGGTTGTTTGTGAAGTTATGCTTTTGCATTGTATTGTAAATTTAATTTTTTTTTTTTCTTTTTACATCTTTAGCCATGATGCCAGTAATTCTGGAGACTGCTGTATTGGCTTAATTACTTAACTTAAACATAGATGCTTTTAAAAAGCTGAAAGATAGCTTCAGCTTGAATCAATCAGGAATTCACTGTGGTCGTCAGGGCGACAGCGGTGATGTAAGCCTACGCTGCCTTGTTTTCTTTGACTAAGCAGTAAAGAGACTGTCTGAGATTTTTTTCCCCTGCATGTCAGTGCTGAGGTGTTTGATCACCGAGTCATGCTCAGCCAGTCATACATAACATGGTAGCAGACCCCGCTGCTGAGAAAATAGTTTATAAAATAGCAAACAAGTTTCCCAGACGAGGTTTTATAGGAAGCTTGTTTACTTTGAGCTGTTCAAACATCATCGTTGTTTTACAGCACTTGGTTTGGGCTGTTTTTTATTGTTTCAAAATGCCTTAGAGCTCAATAAGCAGTGATAAATTAGGAATGTTAAAAACCCATCCTAACATGGACAGATGTCTGAGATGCTCCTTTCTGTTGTTTATTTATTTTTTATTTTTTTGTTTAGGTACAACCCAACCAAACTAACCAGGAGAAGATGAAGTGCCCTCATCCTTGCACTCCAGCCTTTGGCTTTTGAAAATCATTTGAAAATAAATCCAGCAAAAAACATCATACATGTCAAATACATGCAAGTTTGTGTTTTAGCTGTTTGCAGTTGTTGCCGCTTCTTCTGGCACGTTTCTAATAAAGTCACTGACAGCCAGCAATGTAACAAGGAGACGCATTCAGAGGATTTTTCAACTTTTTTTATTTTTGAATAATAAAAAATAATTAATACAAAACATTAAAAAAAATATTTCGCTTGTATGACAGATTATACATGAAGTCTATTGCCTTTCATTCACTTTATTTCTATTTCCATGCCTCTTGAGAGACGGGAAGCAGGGGAGAATTCAAGCATTGCTTTTTTCTTTTTCTTTCAGCTATCTCAACCCTTCAGGCACTTTTCCATTTTTTTAAACAGTTCAAATGAGTTGTTTTCTTACCAAAGAAACAACAGTTGACCTTTCCGTGCACATGCTTTTTACTTTAAGAGAAGGTTCTTAGTTGAATTAAGTCAGTATTTGGTATGAATGTTACAGCAATTAAAACTTCTTCTTCCTCAGAAAAGCTACAGGCTGTCCAGGAGAGTTACCAACTGGCTCTAAACATTTATTTCTAGATTCAGAATAAAAATATATGGGATGTTATTTAAGCTTTTGCAGTTTGAATTTCATGTCAAAGTTCATACACATCTATGCTAATGTTTCAAGCTCACACATTCAAGCAAAATGATAATAAAATAATTAATTCAAAAAGCAGTATGTCTCATCTTGAATTCTTCTATCCCTGTGCAAATAACATCCTGCAGCATCACTCTTCCAACACCTATATGATTTCACTCTCATCAGCAGTCACTGCCAGGCAATGGCTCATGCAGACATACATGTATTTTGTATTCCATATTGCAATAAAACGAAGCAAAAGAAAGCAGTTAGTTATATGGTTGAGCTGAAAATGATGGTTAAAAACCGCCAAGGTCTGTTGTAGGCAGCTGATTTTGGTTCCACTTAGATATTTTGTTAGTTGGAAAAAGTAAATTAACTACAGAAATGGTAATTTGCTACTACATTAACCAACTTAAATGACTGAGTTAGCAGCAGAAGTTGACCCTGCAATCGAACTAAAGGGTCACATCAAAAGGAAACAAAAGAACAGTGGAGTTGTACATCTCAGTTCCTTTGTTAAATCATCAAAAACTTAACATTTTGCCATAATTTAACTCAAAAATGAAACTCGTAAGATTTATTCCACACAGAGGAATATATTTCAAGCAATTGTATCTGATCATTTTGATGAAAACCCAAGGTAGAGGTTCTCAGAAAGGGAGTAAATTGCATAGTGCTAATAAATGAAGCCATTTTTATTGTGTATATATTGATGTTCAGGGTATTCACTTTGCTTTATCCTTTTTTCATGACCTGCTCTCTCCCTGTTACATGGCCTGGAAGTGATAAGCTTGTGGCCCTACAGAGTTGTAACAGAAGCTCACAATGCTTTGAAATCAGCCTTCAGATTATCTGCACTGTTCTGTCTTGTGTCCCTCATCTTCATTTTGACACCTCCCCATAGGTTCTCTATGAATCAGCATAGTGATGCCATACTCATTCTTCTAAATAAATGCTTCATAAAGCTGCACCATATCCTGCATATGACATCAAAACACTGATCATCACTGACTGAAAACATAACTTCTGCTCCTCTAGATTCTTACTTCAAACTCTGAGACCTTGATTTCCAATTTGAAAATTGGAATTTTGTACCACTGCACTACATTCCTCTCTTCTTTTTTAAGATCAGAATAGATGCTTTCTGTTTCATTAGCTTGCTTGCTGATTCTGAAAGCTCTGACTTCAGCCTCGTTCAAATTTTATGGATGTTCCTTTAACGTTAAGGTTTCAATACTTTCCAAGTTGTGTTTGTCGCCGCTTTCTGTACCCGTTTCAGTGATCCATGCTGAATGCTAGAATCTTCCCTCTGAATAATCTTGCTATGGATAACATTTTTGCATTAAAATACTTTTCCTTTATTAATTATGCAGGTCATCTGAGACACTGTTTTTTTTTTTTTTTCTTTGATGTATTCCTTACATTATTCGATATTAAGACTTTAGTGGTAAAAATGCCCTATATTTATGTAGTGCTTTTTCAAGCCATTCAAGCACACTGATGGTGGCAAGCTACATTGTATCCACAGTGGCCCTGCATCCGACGCCACTGTTGCCCCAATGACATCACTCTGGCATGAGTTTTACCTTCTTAAATTACTTTTTATAAAGATAAAGTTTTAATAATATTCTGGTTGAGATGTAACTAATATAAAAAAAAAATCAAAGGAAATGATATATAACAGCCATCTAATCTTTTTTTCTGCCGTCTAATTTGTACTGCCGTAATGATAAACAGCAGAAGGCAGAATTTATTCATTAACATATACAAATGTAAGAAAATCAAAATGTGGTACATTCTTTCACATTCTTGGGTAACTATTTTCTATTGCATTGAAGGATCACTAATAATAGATGTGGCTGTTATGATAATGCAAGTTTTATAAGTATAAAAACTCCAAGGCTGAGGTCTGAACTGGTTAGGTTAAAGAACCTAAGATGCTGGATGGTTTTAATATAAAATAGGAATATAAAAATAGAAGGTGAGACTGATATCTGTAGGTGGTAGATTGTAACACTGGCTGTTTTATATTTCCCTCTACCTATTCGCTGTTAATTGAAACCTCACAGCCAATAAGATTATTTAAACATCAGAATGAACTTTTTGGCTTTTTATTTTTGTACTCGGAAACTAGCAGGGAATCTTATGGTGGCTTTATTTTCTACATTTAAGTCAGTAAGTGACATAACTGGGATCTGAAAACGAATTCATACTCAAAAAATTTTCACATTTGATCATGTTATAAACAAATTTTTGTTTATATTGTTTGGATTTTCAGTGACAGAGCAACAAAAAGTATTGCTTATTGTGAAATGAAAGAAAGATATATTTTTAAGAGGTTCCTAAAACGTAGATTGTGGCTATATTCAACCCAGCTCCTCTAATATTTTAACCAAATCAAGTGCTTACTGGTGTATAGTAACAAAAGATCTGTGAACAATCGTCATCATGAACACCAAATAACAGAGGAGTGAAAGGATAAGGCTCTGGAGAAGCTAAAAATGGACAACACAACAAAAAAAAACCTGTAACGCTTTCTTTACAGTACATCAGTAACCATGTAATGACATGGTAATAACATAGAAAGTTACACTATATTACTAAGTGACAAGAAACACTTTATGGAGAATTTTAGTAAGTGTGTCGCTTCAAATTTTAAACTCAGACTCGGAATATTTTTAACTAAACTTATATTTATATGTCTCTTGAGTTCAGATTTATAATGTTTTATTTACCTGATCATAAGCTACACTTTACTTTGTAAGCCTTTCGTAGGTGGTGGCCTATAATACAAACTGTTATGTGGTACCCTAATGGTAATTACCCACCAAAAGTTTCAAATGTTACATATTAACATACAATTATAATAATTACATGAAGGTAATTACTTTGAAATTATATACCTTAATTTGGGGGTAATTACCAAATAAAGTTTTTCTTCTTACCTAGTAATATAGTGTGACTTGCTCTGTTACTGGCTTGTTATTACATGGTTATTGATGTACTGTAAAGGAAAGCGTTACCAAAAGATCTAATGTATTTTGTTGCTAAGTCATTTAGTAATAAATAGACTAGCCTGACCCTGTTCACTATAGTAATGAACCATGGTCAACACTGTGGAGGGCTGTGCCATGATGCAATAACAACATCACAGAGCCGCTGTGAGCACCAAAACCAGAATGGAGGAAGTCAAAAAAGGTTGTCAGATAAAATGCTATAAAGTTAATTGGTTAAACAGTTTTAAAATGCACTTTATTTGCATAGAAGAAAGCATTTTAAGTTGTGATTTCAAAATAATTGTACTAAATTGGCTTTAATTACCTACATGATATTCTAAACTGAAAATCTACTGGAATAAAAAGAGAAAAGCTTACTAAACCGATACTGTAATACCTCTTTCAGACATTAGCGTGTAGGGTCAGATGTTATTCATCTGTTGCAGAACCCGCTCATGACTGGTACTTGATATGCTTTGCAAATGGGATCAAATTAGTGTTAACATCTAGGACATGTCTACAGTTATGGGCTGTAAAGATAAATATTATCTAAACTCCTTTGTTTTAAATGTGTAAACTGCCTGAAGACACACCGTGAAATGACAAATAACCCTGAATAAAACTAGGTTCCATACTGTTATGAGATGACAGATCAGCTATATACCATTGGCATGCGGTATCCTGAACCTAAAGAGACTTCATTTGAAGTCAGACAAATGTTTGTACATCCATTGTCATTTTGGCTTCATGAACAAATAAAACCCATAAGCCTCAATAATAAAACACTGCATCAATGATTAAAGTAGATTAAAAGAAAACATGTTTTACCTGGGGGGGTTTCTCCAGGAAATTGTGCGTTAAGACTTGACTCATGTTTTACTTCATTGTTTTTCAAATGAAGCTGTTCCCTTCACTGCTGAAGAGCTTTTCTTTCTTTTTGAGTCTTTTCAGCAGACAGGAGGCAATGCCTAAAGCACCCCCCTTCAGAAATCGAACAAAGTTGTCTCCCACTAACGGGCCCATGGCAAACAGCCCTGGCTCCTTGGTGCACTCAAAAGTGTAAGGGTTTATGTCGATAGGGTTCTGCTTGCAGGAGATGGGATTTGTTGGATCTTGTCCCAGGTACTGGCCCTGACCTTTCAGGAAGAACAAATTTGGATTGGTCCCAATCAACACCAGGGCCATTGAGATCTTGAACGCCTTTAGAGAGTTGTCCCCTTGTAGCAGACACTTCATGTCAGACTGAAACGAGACAACACAGTGCTCGGGGAAACTGGTGTAATCAGGGAAGAGGTTGACACTAGAACCTCCAGTGATACTCCCTGCAGAAAGCTGGGGTTTAGGGCACATCTTGGCGCATACTGAAGAAGCAACACTAACTGCCTGGGGTCTGTTAGACGAGGACGAGGAGACCACATTATGACAGGTCTGGGAAGACATCATGTTGTACACTTTGTGGTATTCTGGGTACAGGGTCTTGGGAAGCTGCTTAAAGATGAGATCTGGGTTGTCAGTGTTCTTCCGGAAAACATGCAGTACTCTGATATTGCTGTTACATGCACACAGAACTGCATCAGCTGCACTTAAACCTGCACCTACAACTAAAACTGGATCAGAGTTCACATCAAGTTTTCCCTGGCTTACAGCCAAGCCCAGGTCTGAGATGCTGTGGAACACAAACGGTAGATCTTCCCCCTCTACACCCAATCGGACTGGAGAATCTGATGCACCGGTAGCCAGGACAACATTCTCAGCAAACAGGGAGAATGGGACATGAGTGTCACTCTGTAGCTGCCGATAACCTCTGACTTCCCAGAGAGTTCCTCCTCCTCCATTGTTTTCCCCCTCTTTGTCGTTCTCCTCAAAGTGCCCGTTCTCACTATCAACCGTCTTCTGATCTTCTTGCCCATTCTCTAGCCCTTTCAGCTCTTGCCCACGGCAAAGTTTGTGAACAGAGGTAACGTATGTGTTGTCAACAAAATTCTTTTGCAGACCCTTTAGCTTCACATAGTCTTTGTAATAAGATGAGATCTCCTCAGGGGTGGCTCTGTCACTTGTCACATTTCTAAAGAAGGAGATGTGTACAATCAAAACATGGGCACAGAATAAAGCTAAAGCTTGGGCCATCTCAGTAATGTTAAGACCGTTTTACCTTCGCAAACCATTGGTCAGGTCTCTATAGTTGACTCCGGGAAGCTCCATCCAGATGCCAAGGCTAACAGTTAACATTGAGCCTTCCATTGCCTAAGAAGAGGCAACCAACAATGTGATCAATGTGAAATAATCTGTTAGGACAAAACCCCAGATAATTACGCGGATTCTGTAGAATGAACTTACATGCCAGGCACCCCCAGGTGTTCCCTTTCCCAGAACCAGGTGTGGGATTTGTTGATGCTTGTCTTTCCTCCACTTGAGGACTGGTGGGAAATCATAGCCAAAGTCAGCATTGGGGTGTAGTAGTGTATCAAATAGCACAGCAACGGGATTCCTTGACCTCCCCTCAAGACCTTCGCTCAAATATTCCATAGCCTGGGGGGAAAAAAAAGAGTCTGTTGACACACCTGAGATCCATGTATTAAGAGCTCTTGTGTGAAGATGGAACTTTTTCTACCTGTTCAGTGATGGGGATGTGCTTGGCCTCCTGCAGTTTCCTGTACAGAATGGGGTTAGGGTGAACCGTCGCAGTATCAAAATAGGGCTTGTATCCACTTAACAGGTAGGACAGGCAAATACCCGATGGGCCATTTCCTGTAAACAAATAATTGGAAACTCAGATACAACTAATACCAATATGGAAAGAAAAAGGTGGGCCTGATGAATGTAATCATTAAATTCACCTATAATTACCACAGGAAGGGTAGGTGGGTGTTCTTGAGGCAGAGTGGTCTCTTCCAGAAGAGGCATGACTGCAGCCTGGGCCAGAGCCGGCACTGAGGGGAAAACACTAGAGATATGGGAAAGGTTCCAGATATTTCTGGACTGACCTATCAAACATTCAACTAAACGTTTCATTCATGCTTTGTCTCTCTTCTGGGTGAGATTATTTCAACAGGTTTGAACTGGTTTGCTGTCTTTGTCTATTGATGTTGTTTTTATCTTAGATCCTGTCTCTGTCTACCATCACCAGCTGACTCAGAAACATACACAGAGAGGGAGAAAAAAAAACTTTTTCTGTGGCATTGTTTCCATACACATCATTGACCCACCCTGTCTGTCTGGGCCTTCAGCCACGTGGAAATACCCCGCCAAAACACAACGTGCCCCCTGATTTTTTTTCCAGCGCTGTTCATTGAAGTCCATACACACCCCCTGTCTTTTCACTCATGGCCCGTGGCGAGGCTAGCCTGTATTAACCCCACCACTGCGCCCAAAACAAAAGGGAGTTCTCATGAGATAACATGGGCCTGGGTCAGTTGTGAGCATGCGTGGTGTGATTTTGTGCGTTTCGAGACAATGCCATTGTGTGCCCGTCGGGAAACAAATCCCCTCTGATCACTTATCCAACTGGGTCCTAATCCCACTCTGGCTGTTTATGTCTTTGCTGGGTGAGAATGTGGTCCTGGCATGCTGACAGACTGAACCACTCAAACATAATCTGGCCAAAAATGCTCCCACCACTGCAGGCAAACATCGCCCACTTGCCTCACATTTATGCCAACCAAAGCACTACCTGTAATGAGTTACAGCCTGAAAACCCACATATACATGCACACAGTACCCCCTCCTCCTGTCTGACCTCTGTGTACAGCCAACTGGCTATATGCATTCGCTTGTTTACACATTTAGGACAAGACAGTAGGATTCCATACATTCCCTGACCTGTTTGGCCTCCAGCTGGCAGGGAAGTAGAGATATATCCTAGTTTCAGTTGAAAGCTGTTATAATGGCTATATAATCACTTTCATTCTCCTGTTGGGACTTCCTCTGGTTATACTTAGTTGTTTTTTTTTTATCTTGGACTATGCGGCTTAACAGCAGGCAGGACTTTGGACCTTCTCATTTTTCATTAAACAAATAATATCAGACAGATATCAGCAAATATTATAAAAATAAATAAAAAACACAACTTTCAAGGGATGTTTTTTAAGGTAAAAACAAATAAAAAATTCAAACCAACTGCATGTGAAAGAGTAATTTTCCTCAGAGACCACTGTCTTATAAAAATGACGGATTACCTTTGATTACAACAAAACCTAATTACAGCCAGACCTGCAGGATCAAAAACAGAGTACAACAGGTTGAGGTTCAGGGTTCATAATTTGAGAAGCAGGACTAAAATACCAGTTATGGGAGATATCTGTAGTCAAAACAGCCGGTGACCAAAAACAACAAAAAAGGACAGGCATACAGTCGGAAAAACAACATTTTGATGATTGCAAAGTCTTTTTGGGAAAAGGTTCTTTGGATGAGAAAAACGACAAAATATATCAACAGAAAAACCTGATGGCGGTAGGGTGGTGATCTGCCGTATCTTTGCTACTTCAAGACCTGTGGACTTTTTAACAGAGCAACTGATGTTCATATTAAGAATGTCAGGCAATCAGTTTAGGATCATAAACTTAACCTGGGTTTATCCACCAGGGCATGAAGCACACTATTGGGTACTTGTCTGAATAGCTAGGGGGGGAAACAAAACTACCTGAAGGTTTTGGAATGGTCTAGTCAAAGTCTGCGCTTAAATCCAGTTCAGATGCTGAGCTGTGAACTCAAATAGGCTATTTGTGCTGAAGAAAGCTGAAAAAAATAAACCAACTGCATTAAAACAGATCTACATAGAAGAGGGGATCACATAATTTCCTCCACAGCAATGTAGAGGAGCCACTGTCAGCTATCACAAAGGGTTATTAGTTTAATAGACACCTACTTTTCACATAACAGGTCAGTTTAGGAGCATATTCTCTTAATAGATAAAACCAAAAATTAAAACATGATTTTTATTCTCTCATAATATGGCGATCTAAAAAATGTGTGTGTGAAAAATCAAAATAAGAACAAAATGAGGGACAGACCATTGCAAACCTGGAAATAAGAGGCTAATCAGGGTTTACTTGCAATCTCTTTAGATAACAAATTCATTCAACAATCCCATTTGCAAATGGAATAAAACTGTTCAGCCAAACAGTTTATGGCTGTTTTTTTTAAACAGTTTGTGCAGTCTGTCTTTCTGCTTTCTCGCATTTGCAGGTCATACATGAAATACCTTTACTCTAAAGAGACAGGAAATGATGCAACAACTACTTTCCAAAGCATCATGTGCATGTGTTTTCAGATGTTACATCACAAAAGGATACTTGTAGGCAGCATATCGACATATGGTAAGGAGCATAATGTCTGTGTGTGTTCGGGGTAAAATTACAATAGGAATAAATAAAAAGTTAAATGGAGTGAAGTAAATGGGACAAAAAAATGTCAAACTTCTGATGAAGACCATTATAGTAAGATGGAAAAAAACATGGATTTTAGATTCAATTTCTGGAGCTTTCCTGCTTTTTATTCTGTTGTTTATTCTCTATCCCTTTGCAGCACTTTTCTTGAAGAAAGCTCTATACTGTCAAGTTATGTTGAAAATAAGTTAAAGGTCTTTTCAAATAAGGAACAAAGCATTACTCAAGCATTTAGACTCAGAAATACAGTTACAACACTGCAAAAAGTTGAAATCTAAATAAGTTTTTTTTTCTTAAAATAAGGGATTTTCGTCTTAAGTTGAGGATGTGAGTGACACAGTTTGCCAATGGAAAAAGACAATTTACATTGAAAATAAGAAAAAAAAAACAATTGTATTGTCTTATTTCAAGTGCATATTATCTAATTATTGTATTTTTAGAGTAAAAATCCTCTTATTTAGCTACTCAAATTAAGTGTAAATGTATTTAATTTAAGAATGTTTTACTTATTTCTAGATTGTTTTTGCAGTGAATATAGTTCTGATTTCATACATCGATACATGCCCTATCTAATCATATCGGTTGCTTGCAAAATCAAACTAAATCCAATCTGGGATGTTGCTCAAAGACCAGACCGGATGAAGTGATGCAGCATGCAGCATCCTCACTGTAACAGGCTCCAACATCCTCCTGCTCCTTCAGACTCAGTGCAGCTTCAGGTCCATTAATAAGGAGCACGTACCGCAGACGCTCGTTTTCATCATTGCATAATTTAGGTCAAGCTTCCATCCATTCGCCTCTTACCGTGTTCAGATTTGTTTTATTTGCGTCCACGCTCAGTCGCGTCCAGTTATCACGACCCACGGTAGTCCCGTTCAACCGTATAAATAGACACAGACCGGTGGGAGGATCTATTACTGTCTGGGGTCTCTTGAATGAGCTGATGAGCCAAACCTCTCCCCCGACATCAAACGCGCACACATAAAAACTCTCACCTCTGCACGGTCAAATCCGACCAGACCCAGAGTGCGCAGGTCTGATCAGCCTAGAAGTTTAAACTGAGGGTTGGATCTTCGAGCAGCGGAGTGTGAAAGAGACAAACCGGGTGATGCGTCTGCTTCTCCACAACCACATGCGCATCACGGCGCGCGCGGCGTGAGCGCGTTCACGCGACCAGATCAGAGCATCGCAGCATCTTCACAGCGCCGCTCACCAAGCAGCCGCTTTTACCAACAACACACTCAAATGTGTACTGAAATATATATATAAATATTTGAGTTACACTTTACACATCACCTTTTTCACATTGTGTCACGTTGCAGCCACTATTGTGTTGTGATATTATGAGATACAAAGAAATTAATTAATTTTTTTTAGTTCAAATAAAAATCTGAAAAGTGTGCCTTTCATTTCTCTTCATCCAGGTTTATGAAAATACAGTGCAATCAATTATCATCAGATATTTTGTAATTGGTAAACAGATTCCACTCACAGAGATGGTTATTTCATAAATATACCAGTCAGGGAATAGTAAATGTAGTTCATTGGTTTTTTTCTAAAGATAACACTTTAAGATGCTAAAGGAATCTTATGGAGCATGAATTCATTCATGCACTCATAAAAATGTTTACCCAAATTTTAAGATTTATGGAATTTTATTATTAAAAAAAATTGATATTTGCTTCTTCTTTTAAAAGTTTTAACTCAAACCTGTGAAATAAACATCAAGTGATGCATATGCATTAGTTTATTATACAGAGAGGAAAATAAGTATTTGAACACCCTGCTATTTTGCAAGATATCCTACCTAATAAATCATGGATTGGTCAGAAATTGTTATCCTAGGTACAAGTCCATGTTAGAGACATAATCTAAAAAAAAAAAAAAAAACTATCCAGAATTGATTTATTTGTATGATACAACTGAAAATAAGTATTTGAACACCTATCAACCAGCTCTAACAATTTACCCTCAAAGACCTGTTAGTCTGCCCTCAAAATGTCAACCTTATTATACTAAATTAGATGCACCTGTTTGAGGTCGTTAGCTGCATAAGGACACCTGTCCACCCCATTCAGTCAGTAAGAATCCACCTACTAACATGGTCAAGATCAACACTAGAGACAAGATTGTACACCTCCACAAGGCTGGAAAGGACTACGGGGAAATTGCCAAGCAGCTTGGTGAAAAAAGATCCACTGTTGGAGCAATTGTTAGAAAATAATGTGTGTCTATCATACATTGGTTTAATCTTAGACTAAGACGAAAAAGTTACCTGAGACTAATTTTATGTTTTTCCTATGCTACTATAATTGTTTTAATTACATGTTTATTATAAATATGGTTCCAGCAAGATGATCCTTTTCAGCGCTACTTCTTCATCCAGGTAAAAGACATAAATATACAAAGGCTGGTAAAGGTAAGTCTCCGATGTTTTATGATAAAATGCTTTCTACACCTAATCTAAAAAACACAGTCATGTTTTCAGATGCAACAGAGGAACAAGAGAGGCGGGGCATCAATAAAGCTCCGCCTCCTCATCTAATCATCCAATCAGCGGAGAGGATTTATTACTTCCGGTTGTTTTTCAGACGACCTGAAAACACATGTTTGTTAATAGCTAGCGATGGAGATGAACTACAAAAAGCGAGCCTAAACGTATCTGAGAATGGTCTACATCAGTAGAAGTTGTTTTCGGAAGGTAATAAACACTTGGTCCCGGGTGTTATGCTGAATGATTTATCGTTGCGGTTGTAAACTAAATGACATTAGCAGACAGAGCTAACAGTTTGATGTTAGGGCAATGTTAAAATCCTACAGTCATACGTTTATTTGCTAATTGATTCTGGGACTGATATTTACTTAGATGAAATGCTTTTCTCCAGACAATTTGTTGTGTTGTTACACATTTTTACTTTCTTCACCACCATCGGGGCTGCATAATACCTTCAACATCACCAACGTTTTTGTGTATTACTTATTTATTGCGATTTGCAATTCTTTTAGGGCAAAAGAAGTCAAAGCTGTTGAGCTTGTTCCACATTTTTCTTCTCGCTGTAACTTCTAAGGTTTCATAGAGCTGAACAACAGGCGCGGAGCTAGATGGGGGGCCAGAGGTGGCCATGGCCACCCTTACCCAATCATTTATTTCCCTCTAATACAGATGGTGGTAATAATCTCAAGTGGAATATTCAAAACATTTACATTTTGCATATATTAACAATTACTTGACAACAAAAACACTGTGGTTAATTATGCACATCAATTGTGAATTTGAAGGAAAGTTAAACAGTTGCTGATGTATTTTTATGTCTTGTCTAGGTAGTGCTTGGGAGTGTGTATATAAAACACCTATCTGTACGAGGACATACTAAATATATACATAACAAAGATTAAAAGCAATCCATGTGTTTATTAAATTATTTTTATAAGTTGTCTTCAAATGACATTGGGGAACGAATTGTTCGATCTGTGGTAGGAACCTTAAATCTTTAGATCAATCAGTGCATGGGGGGCGACTGATAAAAACGTTAGTTAAATGCGTCAACATTATGCTTCAAAACTTACGTTTTTATTCAAATACATTTTTTTTAGGCTTCCTTTACTGAGGCGCAAAAGTAAATAATAAAAGTCAGCTGCAGAAAACCTTACATATCCAAATCACTATGACTGACTCTTTTGTAGCAAGAAGGATTTCGATTTGTAATTCAGACACATAAAATAGATTTGTCACCACGAAGTATAAATATGTATTTAATAAAAAATGTTTCCCCTCTATTGTCATTACACTGTTACAAGTACAGAGCAATTAAATTAACCCTCTGGGTTCAACCCATCCCTTTGGGGAGCAGCGGGCTGCCATTGTGCGGCGCCCGGGGTGCAGTGTGTGGTTAAGGGAGCTCAGGGACCCAGAGTGGCAGTCTGTGGAAGTTGAGCTTGAAAGCACTTGGCCACCATCCCACTTAAATTATTAATTATTTAGATAGATTTAGACAGAAAGCAAACTGTCTCTAGGTCAGGCATCCCCAAACTCGGTCCTCAAGGCCCCCTGTCCTGCAGGTTTTAGAGGTTTCTCTGCTGATGATAATGATTGCAGTAGACCAAAAGCCTGCTAATCAGCATTCAATTAAAATCAGCTGTGCTGGAGCAAGGAAACCTCTAAAACCTGCAGGACAGGGGGCCTTGAGGACCGAGTTTGGGGATGCCTGCTCTAGGTGAAAGGGATACAAAGTTAGGCTGAACCTGCTGCTTGAGGTATGTTTATCATATGACAGTCTGGATACCGTTTATTTACCTGTAGGGCAGAAGGCATATTTTAGGAAAATAGGGAGGGATTTTTTTTTTTTTTTTACTTTATTGCCTTAAATACAGATTAACAGGCAATTAGTATAACAAAGAGGAACATGAAAAAACAGGTCTGTACTCCAACGAAGTATATTTTAGGTTCAGAAAAAGTTAAAATAATGATAATAGTAGTAATAATATTAATTATACTTGACTATAGTGTGTGTTTGAGAGTCCTAAGCAAGATACTCAATAACTTGGGTGTATATTCTCATAAATACAGATACTTTTAGGTGTAATTGGGCAGTTATATATTCCATCATGTAAATATTTTTTACTTTCGGTATCCACTGAGAGCTAATAGGACTTTCAGTTTTCATCCAATTAATGGTAATATTTCGTCTTGCAATCATCAACCGAATAAGTCATATATATATAACATTGTTCTGTGGGAAGCAGATGGTCAGGGAGCACATCCAATAGAAATAACAGCGGTCCAGAGGAAGGTCCACTGCCAAGATTTTTTCCACTTCTTTTTTGACACTTTTCCAAAAATGTTTGTAGTTTTGGGCAGTCCCGGAATATATGAGTATGATCACTGACAGGGAGGGAATATTTTAGCAACTTAAATATCAGACTTGTTTTTTTCTCTAAAAGCATTTGTTTTGTATAAAAATAAAAGTTTTGCGCCATAAGTTTATAGTTGGAGGGGCCTTTTCCCCTCCCATGCATGATAATAGGTTTCCTACACAAAAAGCACTTATAATGAAAATTCTCCTGTTTTAATGATTCCATACAGTATGGAAACTTCATGGACAACCTCCGTTTGTATGTACGCGGAGGCACCGGCGGGATGGCTCTGCCCCGTCTGGGAGGACATGGAGGAAACGGGGGAGACGTTTGGGTGGTGGCAACCAAAAACATGACTTTAAAGAAGATCAAGGATAAATATCCGCTCAAACGCTTCCTAGGCGGACCAGGAGGCAACAGCAGGTCTGCTTCTGCAACCAAAATGGAAATCTTTATTCTTACTGCTCACAGAAATATAACCATTCCACTTATCAATCATCGCTTAATGAGTTTGTTGGTCAGTAGTGTTTTTATTTCATTTTTACACCAGTGTCCGAGCACTAAAGGGAGAGAGAGGGAAGGACGAGGAAATCCTGGCACCTGTTGGTATCACCGTCACCACTGATAATGGCAGAGCTATTGGTATGGGAGAAATCTATCATATGTCAGAAATTTTGTTTTAATTTAAATATTTGTGTTTCTTTGGCAAAACCATATTTTTCTCATCAATTCTTCCACAAGGGGAACTGAATGCTGAGGGGGACCGGGTGCTGGTGGCGAAAGGAGGATCTGGAGGCACTCCTTACACTGGCTTTGAGCCCAAGAAAGGCCAGGCCAAACACATCAGGCTGGACCTCAAACTCATTGCCGATCTGGGCCTTGTAGGGTGAGAGCAGATCTCACATTAGCAAGTTTTGAATGTTTTGATTTATGAGAACAAATTTAAACACATTTAAATTGTGTGATGGTGTGATTATGACTTAGGACAATGCTGTATGTTGAAGAAATACTGAGCTATATAAAGGGCAATGCTTTAGTTATCCATTGCTAAAAACCTTAATGTTGCAAAAAGGGCTTAGCTTTAACCAGGAAAGCGTTCCCTTTAAAGTTACATTTAGATTTTTGTTTGGTCTATCACACAAAATCCTTTTTAAAATTTGCAGTCATGGCATGATAAAAAGGAGCAAAAGTCTTGAGTCACAAATTACCGAGTCTTTGCTGAAATGTTAATGCTGCATAGGTCCTGATTATCTTAAAATTGGCTTCAGGTTTCCAAATGCAGGAAAGTCATCCCTCCTCACAGCCTTATCCAACGCCTCACCTGAGATTGCCAGCTATGCTTGTAAGAACATACATTTCAAAGCTCAGCAAATCCGTCATTCTTTTTGTTTCTAAAGTCTTTTGTGCTTATCTTTCAGTCACAACTTTACGGCCTGAGATAGGCAAGCTGATGTACCAAGATTACAAGCAAGTATGTGAATTCTTACTAGTGCCTAATTTATGTTATTTTTTCCTTTCAAAAGAGTCAATAAACAATCTACTGGACTTTTTTTCCCAAGTTATAAGATGTATAAGATCCCATCCAGGAAGCTTTTTCAATAAAAAATTTCAGAATTAGCGTTTAGATCCAGGCTTAAATGAGCCCAACAATGCTAAGTTTTGGCTTAGAAAACAAGGCTTTGTTTTGAATGTTTTTATTTTTTTGGAATGACTAAGACCTGGATGACGGAGAATCTTCACAGCATACATTATTTTTTTCTTTTGTTTCCTTCACTGTTGCTTTTATTTTGGCAGATCTCACTTGCAGATCTGCCGGGACTGATCGAGGGGGCTCACATGAACAGAGGCATGGGCCATAAGTTTCTGAAGCACGTAGAACGGACCAAACAGCTGCTGTTTGTGGTTTGTAGAAACCAAAATAACTTTCAAGGCTGATGTGTCAGTGTTGCTGGTTTAACTAGCAAAAGGGTTGCTTACTTTTCTTGCAGGTGGATGTTAGTGGTTTCCAGCTGGCTAGTAAAACACCGTTCAGATCCGCTTTCGAAGCTGTGCAGCTCCTTACCAAGGTAAGTCTAATGCTGCAAAATGTTTGCATTGTTTTTGGGTTTTTTTTCTCCAAATCTCACCTGGTATCAGGTTAAATATGATCTCTTATATCGCTTAATAGAAAATCAAGTTTTTCCTAATATAAAAATATAAAATAAATGTTTGCTCACTTTATTCTCATTATGTAAATGTTGTAAATCCTTCCATCCTGCAGGTTCCGAAACGCTGACGTTTATAAAAATATCTGCCATAAATTTACTGTTAAATTCGTATTTATAGTTTCACAAAGGCTTTTAAAAAGATAATGAAAACTGGAAAATATATATCTGATGTAATTTCTTTTTATCTTCTTATCAATTCTCATTGAAGGAGCTGGAGTTGTACAAGGAGGAGCTTGTGTCAAAGCCTGCATTATTAGCAGTTAATAAGATGGACCTGCCTGATGCTGAGGACAAACTAGAAGAACTGAAAGAGCAGCTGCAAAACCCAGAGGGTAAGTTCAACAGTGACCTCTGTTTGCAAGATATTTACTTTGGATGTTAATCTAAATAGTTCAAAAGTGTTATCTTTAAGTCTCTGGATTTTTAACTAATTTGACTGAATGTATTTGATTTAGCTGATGTTAGTGTGTAGTGACATCTGGTGGCAGGTACAGATACTGATTTATTGAGAGTGTATAGAGTGTACAAAACATCTCAGTTTTGTGATTATGGCAGCATCAAATACAGTATTTTTTATACCCAGTATTTATGAATCAGTTTGATTAGAATATATTTATGGATTTGCTTGAGTTGAGTTGAAATGATATGCCTTTATTGTCTCACAGTGAGGAAATTCAGGTGTGATGAGGAAAAAACAAAAGAAAGCTTACAGGAACAAATAAGACTAAGTGACATTAAAAAAACAAAATTTTAAAGCTTACTTTCCAAAAGAAGAATTGAAATTTTTCCACTATGTCAGACTCGCCACCGGTAAATGAAAATGGTGACCAGCACTTAGGACGGCCTCACTTAAATATCTCATCAGTATGATTGACAATTAGGAGGACCACTTATTTTGATGATCCACCCAGAAAAGAACATCCTCCACTATACCTTTATGTTAAACTGTTCAGAAGAGGAGAAAAACACATCTAAGAAATGGAAAAGATGCCTTATTTATTGTTGTTAAAAAAATCTGGATAAAAGTTAATTTAAAAAAAGTTTAGGTTTGTGTAATTTTGCCTGCATATGAAATAGCTCACATCAAAAATTATGTTTGAAAAAAAATGTTTATCAAACCTAGCCTGTGTTCTTATTTTCTACCATCCAGAGTTCACTAATTTGCTCCCAGATGACATGATCCCCAATCACTTCATAACATTCAGACACGTGATCCCCGTTTCTGCCCTCACCGGGTTTGGCGTCGACCATCTGAAGAGCTGCATCCGACTCTCGCTGGATGAGTGCGCCACCAGGGAAACCAGCGCCGAGCATCAGGAGAAGCTTGAAGCATTGAGGCACCAATACCAGGATGCGTTTGTGAGAAACGTGGACAAAAATCTCCCTCTTTCAAAGGGAGTCGGCAGGACGCAGTGAGAGATGTCTATAGCACACCGTCCAGCAACAGCTTCAATGGAGGGAATATTGCCTACATGTCCAGAATGCAGGCCTGTTTCTTCTTTCTGTTGCAAAGCGATGCAATATACATATAAGATTCACAAACATTAATATCATATTAATGTGTAAACTTTAAAGCTGCTTTGATACTAAGTGTATGACGGATAACTTTGCATTGAAAACAACTATAATTGAGGATTAGTCATGTTTGATTGATCCCAACTTAACAAACTTGTGTTTGAATGAAAGTTTTATTTTGTATTAAATATATTACAATACTTAACGATAAAGAGAAAAAAATAAGTGGTCTGATTTTTGCATCAATAGTCTGTACAGCACACAGGTAAAAATAATAATAAAAAAAGAACTGCAGTGTTCCTGGAGTTGAGGGCAGACGGGTCTGGCCAGACAGGAGCACAACAAAGTACTTTGTCTGCTCGAGTACACAAATACATTCAAAGCTTCTGGCCAGAGAGGGAGTCCACAGCTCATCTGGAGGGTTTGACACTGTGTCCTGTTTGGATTGGTCAGTCCAGCTGTCTGTGCAGGCTGAATCCACAGACAGGTGGGAAGGAGACCCTCCCTGCAGCCTGCATGGTCCCGCCCCTCACAGACTGTGCTCCCAGGGCTGTGCAGTGCAAAGTCCAGGACGCCACAACAAATGTTTTCATCCAACACAGTGTTATTGTGTTAAAACGTTACTCAGCAACTCTAAAGAGGAGGCTTGCCTCAGGAAAAAGGAGTGCAAAAAAAAAATGATACAACAAACCACTTTTTTACAACAAACCACAGTTGTATATTCTTTGTACATAATGTCAGGGTTCCTACATGGTCCGTGAAGTTTGTAAAAGTTTCTAACAGGAATTTGTTTCCTTGTGTGGGTCAGTAAAAGAAATTAAATAAAACTGTATTAAAACAATTGCGTTTCCAGCTATTATAATTTTTTTTATTATCAAAGATGAATATGCATGTTTACTTTTTGCTTTGTTTTAGTTTAATTCTAGATTTGTAATAATCACAACCTACGGTTTCATCTAGTTTATTTGTGGTTATAGTCTGAATGAATGTAAAGCCACAGATAACATTTATCTAGAGCTCAACATTGAGGATTTTAAAGTAGACTTGTGGTTCTTAAACAATCTGGCTTTGTGTGGAACAAAAAGGTTATTTTATTTGTCGAAGAAAACAAAACCAACCTGGCCCTATGTGAAATTATCCCACTCCAGTTGTTACCAACGGTAGAGCCCCATTTATTAGATTTAGGGGTAATTACTTTTTCAGGTAGAACCACTTTTTTATTGAAATTCATAGTAATTTAAAACTACTTTTTATGTATTTGTTTATTTAATCTGAATATCCTTCAGTAATGATGGAAAATGCATGAAGATCTCAATAGAAATGCCAAAACAGAAGAAATATGTAATGGAAGCCCATAATCTTTTTTTTTTTTTTTTTTTTTTACAGTGCCTTATGTCAATATTTTTGATCTTGAATGTCCAAAGTAGGTTTTAAACTGCTGAGACAATTTGATTCTGAAAGATTCTGGGATTTTCAAATAATCTGTAGGAACCCTGTAATGCTAACAAAAAAAAAAAAAACATACAAAAAGACATTGAAAAACAGGATGTATGAAGCAGTATCAGTTCAGTATTGTGAAGATGGGTTCCCCTATGCAGATCTAATGCCTATTTGGCTTACAAATGTAAAAGCGGAACAGAAACACTAATAAAATGGCAAACTCAGGGCTTTAAGAAGACAGCTTCCACACAAGGCAAAGCAATGGGCCTTAACCGCACATTGGACTTGCTGTTAGGAAGCAGGCACCAAGACGCCCACCTTAAATAGCTGCACAGGTGCCACAGAAACACTACTTTGTGAGGTCCCACAGCTGAGCGGCAGTGGGACAGAAACCTTACGATGAAGGGAGCAGGGTTAAAGACCTTCAGTGACATGCTCTTTTTTTTCCCCTGTAATGATCTCACAATTAGCCAACCAGAGATATAACCGAAGGTTCGTTATAGAACTGCCATGCCATTGGTCTTCACAAGCTCAAACAGCAAGCACTGTACAGCATAATTAATCATTTACAAAGGCTTAAACATCTCTAACCCTCACAGCTGAATCCAATAATGCACATTTAAAAATATCCAGATCCTGGCACAGTTGAACCAACCATCTGACATTCAAAAGAAGTGAAGGGAGGGATTCCCTGTGAAAAAAAGGGCAGCAGATTTTTTCCCAAACATTCCTACGTACAATCAAGGGGCACATTTCCAAAATACTACATGAGTGATAAGTGGTACATCTACAAACTACAGCAAACACATCTGAATCCATTTACCTGAATGAGAAAAGACACGAAAAAAAACCCCTCAAATCTTAATTATGCTAAAATAACACTTGTCCAGAAACATCTGAGCTATAGTCTCAATGTGTCACAATCATCTGCAAGTTTATCACAGAGATTATTAGAAAATAATGCAAAGATGACATAAAAAGACACATTCTGTTGCTGATGGATAAAGTGAGGACGAACTCCTGGGAACAAAAGAAACCCTCACAGAACATTGCATTGCTTTATATTTATCTACAGACATCAGCCTCTGTCTACAGAAAAAAAAGAGAGCCAAGTATTCTCTATGCTTTTGTCTTTCAAAATAAAAGCACAGACATACTCTGTGTGTATTTTACTGTACATATTTACACACACATTAGCAAATTTTTGGGGGGAGAAGAATAAAAGGTGGGCAGGACTGAATCAAAATGTGACTTTTGGGTTATTGATAATGCAGATGCATGCTTTCCCTTCAGATCAAGCTGCTATTCTTGTCTTGTTTACACCAAGAAGATGTAGCTGATAATCAGTACTTCTCTCATGCACACAATGCTGCACTTTCTATATAAACACATCCTGCAAAAATCAGACAGCGCAGACTTGGAGTGATGCCGTGGCTCCTTCTTGCCTCCTCTGCTTTCTTCTTATAGGAGCTTCAAAGGCTTAGGCAGGGTGGGATGTGTGTCTGCAGAGACTGTGATGAGAGAAAAGCTGGGAAAATGGTATGGAGAGTGGGGTCCGGTTCCATTTATGATGCTTGAGTAAAAACGAACAGCTCGGGCCGAGCTCCTGGAGGCTCGTTTCTCTGCATCTTCTTACAGAGGCCGCCTCAGACATATCTGTACACCCTAACTCAAACGGATTTCCTTCTACATCCTTTCTATTCAGGGGTCTCACTTTCTCTCTCTTTAGGAGCCGTGGTGCAGCTTTATTAGTTTTTTTTTCTGTTGTCCATTTGTAGTAACGGAGCACGAATACTTCTTTAGGATATTTCTGCAGGGTCAGAGTTATATTGATGTTTCCCACAGCTGGAAAGAAAACAAGGGAAGGCAAACAAACATAAAAAGAATAAACATCTGCATTAATAATTATAGTGATGTTAATAATTTATTTATAGATCAACTTTCATGATGCAAAAAGTCACTTTAAAAAAATCCATTATAAAAATACAAATCTGGATTAAAAAGTGCAAGATTTTTCAAAGGCTCAACCAAAAGTATTCTTATTTAGTTTTTAAAAAAAACAAACAAAAAAACATCAGCATTTTTCAGATTGAGCAACATTTGAGTAATATTTCAGTATATTTTGTTGCAATGTTTGTTATGCGTCCTTTGCTATTCTTTACTGTAGTTTTCAGTTTGACATTGTTTAAGTCGCAGATACAATAACTACTATCAAATACATAATTTTGTTGTTCTTGGTTGTTCATCTCTAGTGAAATTCAACTTCTTTTTTTATCTGATTACTCAGAGTCACTTAGATCACTTATGGATGATTTCTCTCTAGATTACGTTTCTCATATTAAATTTGGGGAATTTTTAGAACAATAGTGTTGATGGTTAGTAAACTTTTCACATAAAAACAAACATTTACAGCCTTTCTGTATTTTTTTTTTTTCATTTCCAGTTGACCAAGTCCTTTTGTTAATGTCAGGATACTATTGTCATTGCATAAAAATCATACAATGCATCTGATGTTCAAGTCTAGATCTACCAAGGACCCGGACAGTAGTTGTGGCTAGATTATCCCAAAACGTGGAGAATGGTGTGATGTCATAGTCCAAACTCATTTTCATTGTGGTCATAACCTATTTAGATGTTTCAATCTGGTTTTAAATTGTGAAAACTGAAGGATGCTCACCCTGGCACTCTGCCTATTGGCTTTCCTCTGGTCGTCCGGCAGTGGAGGCATGGGGTATGGGTATCTTCTGCTGGATGCAATGGATCCAGTAGATGAAGTAGGGGACTTGGCAGGGGACAGTGTCCTGAAGTGAAGGAGAAGGTGACACCGTTAGATTTTCTTCTTTCTCCCTTCATATCTGGTTCACGAACATGTTGACCAAAGAAACAGATGGCTAAATGAGGTTAGACACAAATATGCTGAGCTAATGTTAGATCTGTGACTTTGGGCAACATCCTTCCTTAGCTGCTCCAGTAACTCAGTTTCACCTTCATGGAGACAGAAGTTGCTCTTAAAAGTTGAAGCTGCTGCTCACCGAAGGCATAAAAAACTTGACCAGGGCCCAACTCTTCAGAGCGACCTCTGTGCTCAGAGGTTCCCAGCTGCTGTCTTGCTCAAATATAATCATTTAATCGCTCAACAACACAGTGAGGAAGAACTAGAACTGATGAAACAGGAATTTTATTGTGTTGCTGACAGACTGTATCAGTCAGAGAAATGCTAAGTGGGATTTGGACAGCAGACCAGACAGAAGCTGGGAATCAATAACATACAGTGGTGCTTAAGTTTTTCTAAATGCAAATGTCATTATTTTCACAGTAAATGCAAAAAAGTTGTATTTTTAAAACACCACTGTAGTAAGAACAAAGGAGGAGAGGGAGACCGACATGTGCAGCAGCTTGTACACATGAACCACCTGCTGTGAGATGGTCGAAAAGACTGATGAAAGAAGCAAAGAGAGTGGAGCCTGTTTCTTCTAGATACCTTCCTGCTTCATTTAAATACGTAGAATCAATTTATATTTGAAGGCCAAGTAAATACAGTGCTGTTGGAGACTAAGAACCAACCGTCTTAGGGACAATTTTTACCCGACAGCAATAACAAAAGTAAATGCAACCAAAAATAACCATTAATCATCATGGATGATGTGTGTGAGAATGTACTATTCTTATTAGTTGTTTTGTATCAGTTATTGTTATTTATTTCTTATATTATGTGTAAATGGTGGTGACAGTGATTTTTGTTTTTGATTTTAAGCATATGCACTGGTCGATGGCACTTTTTAAAATTTCGTTGTTCTTGTGACAATGACAATAAAGATAAATTGATATTTGTCCAGTTCAGGTTTCTTATTGTTTGGTGTATTTTAATATCATGCTTATAGAGTTCCGAATATAAAAAACATCTAGTATTTGTTTTAAGATTATTATTTAACTTATTAAGGCAACATATTTATTAAAGCTACTGATAAAAAATTTTTAAATAAAGAACTACACATAAGCTAAACTATAAATAACTGTGATTAATCACATTAATTATGTTTGCTGTAACTAACTGACCTGCAAAATCTAATCACTTTGACAGAACCTTTTGTGACAAAAGGAAATATGTTAAAATCTATCAAAAAGTAACTAAACATGGTCCAACCCAAGACATTCAAGACAGAATAGAAGATAACCTTGATAGGAGTTACGAACCTATTAAAATCAAAGACCCACCCAGGGGTCACAAAATAAAGAACATTTTAAATACTGCAGTCTTTAAGAACAGAGGAATAAGCCTGAGACTAGGTAAAAATAGCCTTCACTGGATGGTTTTGACCAAAATAAACACAAAGGTCTGTCTCACGTGGACCAAAAACCATCTTATCAGAACACTCTGGATGGATGACCTAAAATTGAAAGACTCTTCAATATGGCATAAAATCAGAGGCAAAAAAAAGAGAATGCCTTTAGATTGAAAAAAAAAAGCATCAAATTGACAAACATGGGGTGGCAGGATTATGATGTGGGGCTGCTTTGCTAATTTAACACTTGGATGACTTCCTGTAATTAATGTAACCATCGATTCTGGTTTAAGTACTCAGGCTCCAGCCCATGTAGGCAATGCATGTACCTCTGAATGATTCCAGAAAAAGGCTCTGGAATCACCTAGTCAAAGTCAGGCTTAAATCCTGTTGAAATGCAGTCGCATGACCTATACAAGCCGATCAAGGTTGAAAAATACTCCAAAATGATTAAATCATAACAGATAACAGATAAAAAATAGAGGCTAATTGGTGTGGATCGTTTTTTACCTTCATATAATAATGTTTTTAAAGCAGCCTTTTGTAGGTCATCTTAAATGTTCCAAATTATGTCAATGAAAAGAGAAGAAAATCTGCAAGGGGGGGGGGGGGGGGGGGGGGGGGGAGTCTCTTAACAACACAGTAAGTACACATTTTAGGCCTTTTTTTAGGTAAAGATTGCAGCTGTATCTATTTCCAGGCTCCACATCGCTTTATTCTTTTGTTGGTTTCCTTCTCTAGTTGTTGTAAAATAGGGATGGTGAATAATGAGCTTCTGGACACGGTGAAGGTCTATAGATTCCAGTGCTTGTGCTTATCTTTTGGTCATTGGCAGTGAGAAAACTTGCAACCATCTATAGACTTCAGACACAATCAAAGAGTTGACTTTGTTTCAGCGGGATGGGCGTGGTGTCAGAGCTGCAGCCTGAAAATTGTTGGCCCAGCTGTGACATCAGCCTGATGCACGAGAAGTCAGGTGGGGCGGAGCGAGGCGGGGCGGATCCACCAACACTTACTTAAAGAACAACACTGAACATGCAGAAGTAACAAGAGACTGGGGGGAGAAAAGGAGCAAAGAAGGGAATAAGGAAAATTAGGAGGAAAATAACTTTCAAGTTGCTTTTATATGTTGGATTTTTATTTGTGTATGGCATTGGAGCAAAAAATAAAGGCTGCAAATTAAAAGGGGGGCTTCTTAAACATGGTAATAATCTCCACTTACTCTCTTAAATTGTTTTCCCTTCTGAGAATTCAACACAGCAACATGCCAGTTTCTTTTTCTCAGTTTCTCTCAGACTTGTGGGACCAAATTTGCACAAACTCTTCCCAAACCATACATCAAATCAAAAGTGAGGGAACTTAATACAAGCATGTGAGGTAGGGGGCATGATCTGAGTTAATACCTAAGGAAAGGTCCTTCAGTGTTTTTATTCACATCCTCTACCCATTTAGTTACATCATAAAACTCAGTTTTGTTGCGAGGGGTTAAATACCTGCAGGGAGGAGGTGGGGAAGGGTGGGGATCATGGTACCAACAAAGGAGGGGAGAGGAGAGAGAGAGATAAGGAAAGAAGGAAGTGAATAGATCTACAAGTAAGCAAATGAGGGAGGATAGAGGAAATATTTATAGGAGAGCAGAGTGAAGATAGAATATGAGCTGCATCTGAGAGAAAGGTGGAGATGTTGAACAGACCTTTGTGCGGTTTCAGACGAACATAGCACCACCACGGACAAACAAACAGTGTTGTGTGTCAGGCTCGCTGCGCTTTAGTCACATCATTCCAACATCATTCCAAGCAGCCAGCTTCTCAGCCACTGAGTCGGCAACATGCTCAGATTGACAGCTAGTGCACCACAGAATGCGTCATTGGCAAAATAGGGTGATAGATTTCAAACAAGCAAACACGGCAGATTGGGGGGGAGCAATCGATGCACGCTGAAGATTCGTTCAAAGTTCATTCAGTCAAAAAAAAGAAAAACAGTGGATTAATTCATAGGCTCGGAGCAAGGCAGCAGTACAGCTTAAAAAGCCAGATAAAACAATCGCCATGATGAGAAGAGCAATTAAAATATGTTTTCATTTAGGATAAAGACAGAAGGGTTTCTTTAAAAGTTATCAAACTTAAAGTAAAATAGACTTTTTTGGTTATTAGAACCTGACATCAGATCAGATCAGATTGTCACACTATTTAAAATACTAACTCTAAACAGTGGCATCGCAGATAATTCTCAGTTTTCTTGAATATAATAGAATAAGTTAAAGATTTTTATGTTTATGTATCCTGAGGAAAAAACAGGAATAAAATAGTCAACATTCTAAGACTAAAAATTCCGTTATTCCTCAGATGCCTGGAGTCGCTAATTCACTTCATGCATAAATATAAACTAATTATAGCTGCAATGTTGAAATGAACGATCTCTATTTAATCTACCATCTGACTGACAACAAAAATACTGATCATATTTTTTGAACAAATGCTTATAAATTTGAGCATTAAAACATCTATAAAACTATATGGGCAAATCCCCTTGTTAAAAATCTGACAATCTAAATTCGACTGCTGACGTCAGTGTTGCATAAATGTCTATTAGGCACAATTCAGGTATATAGCAATCAAGTGAAACAGTACATTGCTGCTTGTTTGCAGCAATACTGTGACACCAGACTTTAGTTTGCTCTACTTTTCTGGATTGAAGAGGATCAGCACTGACTGAAGTGAAGCTGTAAAACTGACAAAGAACAGGTGGGCTGGTCTGACCAAGCACAGCCAGTTCTGCTCTGAGGAATTTTTCAGCAAACTGTTTCGAAGAAAAAAGTTTGAATTATGGAGAAATAATTTCAGAGGACCTGATATGTTAGAGAAGAAGAAAGACCTTAAAGGGCTTTTTAGTGCATATAATGTTAAAGGCTTGCGAAGGCCCAGCTGGTAATAATACATCCTTGTCAATAAAGTTACTTTATATACCTATTTTTAATAATGTAAAATCCTTAAAAAAGTATTTTCAAAATAGGAAATGAGTACCAAAGGACAATAGTGTTAATTTTATTCCTAGAAATCAGTACAAGAAACTCCATCAGGTCTGCTCTGTTGAATTCTACAGCTACACCTTATCATGAGAAATCATTTTTATACTATTTATATTTTTATGGTCAGGTTGTTATCTTGTTTTATTTGTTATATGTTTTAGGTTGTATAGGTAAGTATAAGTTGAAGAAGAGAAGTCCTGTTTGTAATACGGATGTCATGAATTGTTGCACTGATACATGCAGTAATGATGTAGCATATAAATACGCCTAAGCTCAAACGCTTTAAGATAAAATCTGCGCTTTCACACACTATCAACAGATTATTTTCCCTTTTATGTGTTTTACTGTGAAATTAATATAAACACAAAACCTAAAAAGTATATATTTTTTGGCAATTTTCAATTTTTTTAAATGCTTCACTACAGATTCTAATGTTGAAACAAATTACAAAGCAAGTAGCGTCTTCAAGTCCTAAAGACGTCCAATGTGTCTGCAGCTATTTCAGCTTTTCCACTGTCAGCTCTGCTAGCTGCTCCAACAGACGCCCTAAACATTTGCTCTACTCTCTGATGATTGATGTTTTTTTTTGTTTGTGCTTCATTTCTCTAATAGTGACTGAAGCAGTCAGTTAATGTGCTGAGGTTATGTGCAATAGTCTGAAAGCCTTATTTTAGGGGGATTGTACCTATATATATACCGGTAGAAGAAAACTAAATTTCATTTCAGGAGCATGACATTTCTTTAAAAATATTTTATCAATGTCAACTATTTATACATATACATTAAATACTTATAAAAAAAAACATACCACAAACTCCTTAATTAAATCCATGTGTTACTCTGAGACGGTTGCAAGTATCTAGTTCGATCCCCACTGCCAGATCGAGTGGCAGCCCATTGCTCCCCGAAGGGATGGGTTAAATACGGACATAAATTTCTCCAATGTGTGATCAATACAGACAAACAAAAAGTGATGTTTGGTTCCTAATCTACTTTATATATTTGAAAATGTATCTCTGTCAGCTGTATGTCTGTCTATGTGTAGCTTCATCAAAACTAATTCCTCTTACGTTTTAAATACTCTTTTCTGATACTGATCCATTTACTGTGTCGCCACTAGGCTGCCACGTGTCTCCTTCATGTATTCCTTTGAAAACATTTTTTTTTGTTAAGAAAAAAATGAATCCTCTGCTGATAATAAATCATTCATATATAAGTAACTGTGCATTCCATTTTAGAAAAAGGCTTTTTGTGCGAAATGGTTATTTTTTAAAATGTTTATCTGGTTTTAAAATGAAATGAAGGGGTAACTGTGAATCTAAAACACAAAATGTTTACTTTTATATATTAATTTAAAACCTAACATACTTTTTTTTTTAACCCAAACTATTCATTTCTAAATATTTTTACTGTGACACTTGTTCAATAAAAAGAACCAGTGAAATAATATGGCAAAATGTTAGATTTAGATTGTTGAATCTGTTGCCATATAAAGGTTGAAATGTGAAATTTAACTTGATGTCTACTTTTTTAATAAATATCCTTCTTAGATAGCCGAGTACACGGCAGCACTGAGTGGAACTCACTCTGTGGAGTTGGAGCGAGCCCTGAACTTCTTTCCTTTCAGCTTCTTCCGATTACCGCTCAGGTTTCCTAGAAAGAAAGTTGGAGCAAGAAAAACAAGACAAAATTATATTTCGATGATGATAAAGGAGGAGATAAATATGGAAAAAAACTGTATGTTTGTTTCCAGTTGCTCTACAAATGATTCAAAACGATAAAGCTTTGATATCTATTATCTAAATTCCAATGTACAGGAAACACATCTGCTTCAGGTTATCAGTGCGTCACCTTGCCATGAGTTGCTTCGTGGTCTCCCATTTTCACAGACGTCGGTGATGTGCTTGGCATCTGGAATCCTCTCGCTCCATGAGTGTGACAGGCCATTAGATCTACCCACACATAGCATGAATAGAGCAGTTTAAAAGCTTTTCTTCAAAATTTTCTGAGAACTCTAATGTGAAATGTAGGAAACATTTCGAATGATAAGTAAAGGCCCAGAGCTGTGAATGAATGGAACAGGATGTGAAGAAGTGAGTATGCAGCGCAATGAATGACTCAGTTCTTCATCGCCAAAATATCCTCCATTTTGACATTCATTTTTTTCTGCTTCGAAAAAAATGCACTGAATAAAAAACGCATCTTAAACAAATACATTATAGCTGCAAATGCATAATATGAAGTCATATTATGAGCAAGAGCTACATCAGCAATTTAAAAATGCTAACTGACTCAAACAGCTGAAAACAAGCAAATGGATGAGGGATGATGAAATGGCACACCTGAAGCCAAACACTGAGATGTTCTGAGAAATGGATGGGAAGGATGGAGTGAAGGACAGTGTGCAAATCTGCAGCTGGGACAGGCAGGCTGACCTCTTCTTGGAGCTGCATCCAGAGTTGGTGCTGACACCCGGAGGCATGTCGCTGTAAAAGGAATCTGCATCCCCGGGTTTGGTGATATAGTCACCGGGGGGGATTTGTCTGGAAACACCAAGGGAATATTTTTAGACTCCATATAAATGGACACCCTCAAATTCTCACCAGACCTTGTTTTTGTCTGAATAATAAAAAGACATTCTTCCCTGTACAGCTATGTTGTATTGTTTTATACATCACCAAACAATCCAATTACCCCTTTTAAAATGGTCTGAAATATAAATTCATGTACAATTTCTGGTAGGTTAATACTAATTAACTTTAAAAAAAATATGGATTCAGTCTAAAGCTAAAAAAAAAAAATTAATTCTTCCTAAATTTTTCATCCAAATGCTTAATGTTATTTTTTCTATTCACTCAACATCTACTATCTACATGGTGTTTAGTCCATTGCTCATAGGGCACATCAACATATGAGAGGAGGAGAAATTATCTTTAGTCACTAAGAGTTATATATATATTTTTTTTTAACCAAACAATTTCAAAGGCAGGGTGAAAGTAAAATCTTCTTCCTTAGTTCTAATCACTACTCTTTACTGTAAGATCTGGGGCATTCAAAAACATTGAATTCAAACCAAACATGAAAACTAAATGGTGTCTTCTCCTTTAAAGGAATACATAAAAATATACCGTTGTGCATTTTGCAACACAAGACAAAAAAAAACAAAAAAAAAACTACAGCAATAATGAAAAGCAGCAAACCGGCAGAATTTTCTGTGAACCTCAGACTCATTGTGTCGTCTCTTTTTGTAGCTCCTGTGAAAAGAACAGAATTCTGCTTTTATCTTCTGTTACCAACATCTGAGCATCACTCCTTAAACCTTAGTTTGCACTCACTTGTAGCACCAGGCAGTAACTGCCAGTATGAGAGCCAGAAAGACGATGGAGCCAGTGATGGCCCCGATTATGATGTTGGTGCTGGTGATCCCTGAGGAAGACAGAGGAGGAAGAGATGAGAGTGGGGAGCCAAATGCTTCTCCATTGTTTGGGTTAGTCCTGTGGTCTTGTAAGAAATCGGATCATTAAGGGGAAACACAAACCACAGCAGAAGGAAGTAAAACTAGCGGGAAACGTTTGAAGGGAGGAGAGGGGAGAATAAGCTTAAAAAAGACCTTCACCTTCAGCACTTCTTTTAGGGCAAGTAACACAAAGTTCTGCATCCCATTCAGAAGAACAAAAAGTGCTTGCTACTTTATGAAACAAATGCTACAATTACAGAGCACTCAAACTGGGATGAGCGAGGAAAACAACCAGAAAACAGTTAAAGAGAAACTCAAACTCTGACCTCGAGGCAATCCGTCAAAGATCAGTCTGTTGACAAAGAACGAGCATCAAAATAATGACCAAAAAAAAAAAAAAACATGCATGATGCAGCTACTTTAAATGCATGGCAGAGTGATAAAAAGGAACAGTAATAAAATGGGTGGAGCTAGTATACAATTATGAGTATGAATTGTAGATAAAAACAGAAAAACAGGAAGGAAGAACGTGAGATAATTTAGTTTTTTTTTTTTTTTTTACTCAAAGGCTTTACCTGGACTAGGAGCTGCTAGTCCGTCCACAAGATGACTGAGGAGGGACCTGGAGTAACAGTCGTCTCCTGTCCAGCCCAGGTCACACACACACTTCAGCTCATTACTGCAAACCTACAGAGAGAAGGATCATTGAAGCAGCATGTGGTGGTCAATAAATGGCTGCATGTTTGTGCAGGGGAAAAGTTGCATACTCCGTGTCCAGAGCAGATGGTATTATCAGTGGTCCCTGGGCAGGTGCTGAAGTTGAACTGTTCAACCGATAGACACTTGTGATCCAAACAGATGCTGTCCGTCCCACAGGCTGTCCCATCTTCTACGTACCCTAGGTCTGTGTCTCCGTCAATCAGCACATGCCCCCCACTGAATAGAGGACAGCAAAGAGGAAAGAAATGGATTGGAATGTATTATACCATACGCAGCAGCATATCATACACATGCTGCTGCTCTCCAGTTTAGATCATAACTTGCACTTATAACTTGGTAGGAATATTGTGCATTGTTACAGAGATTAAAATTCTTTGCCACAGAGCAAATTAGCAGCTGTAATCTCTAAGCTGTGTTCTTGGTTGCATACCTGCAGTCCAGGGGGGAACCATGTTGAGCAACAGAGAAAGAGGTGAGTCCTCCCTGCAGCTCTCCCAGGCGTGGGGATGGTGAGATGTTAGAGCACAGCAGGTACCCACAGTGAACATCTCTGAAACACAGGAGGACAAAGACCCCAGATCAGCAGGAGAGAAAACTCTCAGAGCAGATGTTTAAAGCAGAGAAAGGATCTGTTACCGTTTGTTACACTGGACCCAGGTGTCCTTTTCCTTCCCACAGTTTCCTTTTTCTGTCCCCTCAATGTTGAGCTTTTCGTAGCAGAACTTGTCGGCTGCTGTTGCCTCTGGTGGAAACAACAAGCAGACAAAGGGTAAAACTCGTCTAATTCAAATCCCGTCAGGTTTCTTCGGTACACTGGCCCAGAAAAATATTAACCCTGCTAAGACTTTTACCAGCAGTTGACTTTCTAGTTGCATGTATCAAGTTAAGTGTAATTTGCAGGGATATTACAAAACACAAAGTAGTTTGTGTCTTCATGAGACTTTCACAGAATAACTCCATTTATGCTGATATTTCACTAAACACAGTTAAACTAGCAATAAAGTGGCTTTTTTAATTTCTTTTGGGGAAATTTGGGTAAATAGCACTGAATAAAATCAAAAAAGCATCAAAACAGTTTTGCACGACTTTGTGTGGGTTTTTTAACTAAAACGTATTACAAAAGTCTGTCTGGAAAATAGCAAGGCGAATGTTTTACTGCCCGGTTATCTTATGAGACCTGAGACCATTTCACACTTACTTTCTCCCCAAATGTACTTGCACTGTCTGTCTTTGGTTTTACATTTTCCATTGAAGCAGCGACCCTGCAGAAAGACAGAGGAAAAGCTGCAAAGACTCAAGTAAAAAACAATTACAGGCAAATCTAATCTAAATCCAATGTCTTACCTGATCTTTTTCACATGTGTATCCATCCATCTTATGCACATTTGGTGGACACTGAAACAAACAAGAAAGGTAGTTTGACATATCATGGTTATTGTACAGGTTGATCACCAAACAAACAGCCTGTGGGAGACTCATGCTCACCTGGCTGGAGTTGCCAGTGCATTTCTCTGGTATGTCACAGTCGTTCACTGCGTCTCGGCACAAAACTCCCATGACTTCCAACTGTAGAAGAAAATTATGCAAATTAACCAGACTGTAAATAATAAGCATCATGTATTTGGGCAGCACATTACTGCATGTTTTTCTCCTATGAATTAAATAATGATATAGGGCATGCTCTCCTCGGGCCCTGAGGAAGTGTAGCATTTCTTGTTCTTTACCTGGCAGTTTCTGCAGCATAGTCCATTGCTACAATCGGAGCCTTTGGTCAGAGTGCAGTTCTTGCAGCAATTCCCCCCCTCGTTGGCACATTCCTTAAAACACAAACATTAACTGTTTAAATAACATCTAATTTACAATAAGTTATTTTGTAATAGTTCTAGTTTAAACATAGATCTGACTGATTTTTATCCAGTCAAGTTACCCGCTTTTAATAATGGTTTTAGATATTATGGGGGTTTGTGATTTCTCTCTTCCTTTATGAAAACCATCATAAAAGGCTGGAGTCCTTGATAACATTTTATTGTCTTTTTTTCTTTAATAAAAATAATAATAATAATAATAATAACTTCAGACTGTTGTTGTCGTTTTTTTGTGTCTCACCCCTTTAAGGTTCAATTACCATTGTTCCCAACTACTCATTTTTTATAATTAGAGTAAGAATTGAGCATAAATGTTTTGGAAAGAATGATATTTCACAAGCTTAAGAGAGGCATCCTGTCACCTATATCGAAATGCTGACAGCCATTTTTCTTTAACAAAATTTTTTTGGGTAATTTAAACACTTCAATCCATCATTTTAGAGGAAGATCTCAGTATTTTTAGAAATGTTTGCATGGAATCCAGCCATGTATGATGGTTTGCTTAAAGAAATAAGCAAACCATCTATGCTATCTTAAACTATAATCAAAAGCAGGTAATAGAGTTATTTTTGTGTTTTTTTTTATCAAATTCAAGAACAAAAACTGATCTGAAAGGAAAATAAATTTGATAGCAAAATAAAAATAATAGAAAGTTAATGTTCACACTGACAGCAAAAACTGTTTCTATTTGAGACTGAAGAAAATGTTTTGAGAGAAAATATTCCAAAAGAGTTAAAAAAATATTTTGTCAAAAATAGATTTTTACTCTCAAATATTGTTTTTCTTTTGCAATCATATTTAAAACATTTTCTCTCATAAAGAGATTTCTCACTAAAAACTTATTTTTCTCTCAAAACCCAAGTCTTTGCACTAAGTTCAGGATTGTTCTCTCCATGTGTTTTTTCACATGTGCTCCTGTTGGCCAGTCTCAACAGATTTAACAGCTGATTGGTCTGGGTTGGAAAAATAAGCTCCAGGAAATAACTAATATTTCATAACAAAAGGATCCTCTATAGTACCAAAGGCAATATGTCATCATTTATATGCCTATTGCTCATTTTGGAACTTGAAAAAAACAAACACACAATATAGAACCTTTATAGAAATTCTTTATCAGACAAATACAGTTTCTACCTCCCAAATACACGGGAACAGTTAGATACGACTCCTTCCGGATGGATATGACTCCCTACCAGGACGCAAAGTGAGACCAGAGAGCGAGTTTAGTACAGACGAGCTTTAGCGGGGAGAGGCCGCAAAGAGTCGGAGAGGCACACAACTTCAACCAACATCAGTGTCTGACCTAGAAAATTATTATTTGACAGCATGGTCAAATATTCCCATAAGCCCAAGGTCAAAACAACAGCACCATGTTTTGTTACGGTAATTTAGAGTGAAAGTCTTGGACCAAGTCTCAGGTTAGATTTCCTTTACTATGTAACTGAGGTAGTGTATTTCTGATTTTTGCTGATTTTATTTCATTACAGTTTAGAATGTTAACAGATGTTTAAAGGTGACTTAAATATCTTTACACTTAAATAATAGATTGTTGATCTGTTTAAATATTTAAAAAAAACTTTTAATTTTGAGATCTAGTAAAAGTTTGTCCTGCTGAAAATCAAAGCTGTCTCAAAAGGCTCCCTAAGGAGCCATCGGGATCACAGTTTGACTCGGTAATAGAAAGAATGAAAATACTTGTGGAAAATACTAAACAAACACACCCAGGTGTAGCACTTACCTCTGGGGTACCACAGTCACACTCTTCTCCTGGCTCCACAAAGCCGTTACCGCATTCTGGGGGGTCAAGCAGCTAAGTGGAAGACGGAAAGAAGAAAAGTTTGTATTCGTTCAAGCAGAAAACTCCACAAGATGTAGATTAAAACTGAATGCAGCGTTAAAATAAAATAACCGAAACCTTGTATTTATGGAGCTACAAGAGCCTTAACACTTACAAACTCACATATGTGATCCACACGTCAACATAGTGACACATATTGACACATTCACAAGACAAGATCAACTAAATTATTTGTGATGAATACACAATCATATCCAGAATTACAAATTACTACTTTTCTTTGAACTTTACTGCATTTGTGTATAGATTTTTGTGACACAATGCACAAATGCATTTTTTTTAACAAAGCTATGATTTGCAACCAATTAGATAACTCCATTGTTTGTTTCAGCCAATTACAGGGAATGTACATCATGCACTGTGCATGTGTAGATCACATATACGAGTTTGTCAATATTGAGAAAGTGGAGGAAGGCTGATGGATGTAAAGGATGGGTGGAGACACATTTGGAAAACTGTATCGCATAACCTCTCCTTTAGCCAACACCTACAAACAGCTCAGAGGCTCATTTGTCAATACTGCAGAAAGACCAGTTAAAAAACAAGCCCAGACTTCAGAGGGTCCTATCCTGCTGGTATAGTGACAAAAACAATGACGCGTTGTTGCTCTTTCTGTAACACATGCAGCCTCGGTCCATTTGTAATAGACTGAGCTCATATAAGATTCGGGAAACGGTTCACTTAAATACCTGATTTGCGGTGGCTTCAATTCAATTTAATTCAGTTTATTTATATAGCGCCAATTCACAACACGTCATCCCAATGCACTCTACAGTTCACCAGATCATACAGTCAAATTGATTCAAAGTTTTCTATCTAAGGAAAACTTTGAATCAAAAGCTTTGATCTTTACAAAAGTGGTATCTTTGATGTTTTGTTTTCTATTGGGATAGAAATCCTTAAAAGCCATTAAATTTATGCGTAAGGGAATTGAATTAATTCATCCACATTGTTTTTTAAAGTCTCTCTCTCAGATTCTGGTGCTGAATAAAGCATTTTAGGATCATCTAATTCATTGCTTTGCAATTCTGCTGTTTATATTTCTACAAACTATTGGAGTGATGTTCAAAATGTGATTGTGTATAGATTTACAGTTTATGTGTGCGTGTCCTTTACCTTCATAGGTTTGTTAAAGAGGCAGGCTCCTCCCCCACTGTTCAGAAAGTTATGGTACTCCTCCACGTTGCAATCAGTAAACCTCTGGGGTAAATAGTACCTGGAAAAAAAAACCAAACAAAAATGAGGAAACAAAAACCACATCTTATAAAATCAAGGACAGAAGCCTAGAAGCATCCATTGACAGGATTTCATCTATAGAAACACAAGCCAACGAAATCCTGAAACTGAATAGGAAATTTTATTAAGTATGATCCCAGTTCTGCTGCAGAAATGAAAATGAGCAGATTCAGGGTGAGGTAAATTAGAGAGCTTTTCATTTACCTTGCTTAGGATTAAGTATTTTTGTACTACCTTTACCCTTTACAGATTGTTTCATTATTTGCAAGCTTGGGGATTGTTTCTGGTTTTTTCTTCTTCTAGGCACGGTGATTTGTTCAGAGCATTAAAGTAATTTTAATATTAATAAAATAACTAAAAAAAATATTGGGAGGGGATAAAATCTGCACCTATAGCTGAAACGACCAGAGCCCGTACATCATCAGTGACCCCTCACACTCCCACCATGGACTGTTCTCCCTGCTTCCCTCTTTTCTCTGTCAAGAGGCTTCGCAGTATCCCATGCAGTCCCAGCAAGTTCTGTATCAGCTTTTTCCCCACTGCTATCAGACTGCTGAACTGTTAAAAAAACTCTAAATCGAGTCACAAATCCAGACTCTGCATCCCACTGATAACATCATACCAAATAGTACTAAACTCAAATGTTTTTCTACAGCAATTTTTCAGCAGATATATTTGTTTTTGCACTGCTCTGAACTTCCACATCCATACCTTTTGCACCATGTTTTTTCTCTCGCACTGTTTATATCAAATCACTGCTGCACTTTATTTATTTATTTTTCTTTTATTTGTTTATTTACAGTGTCCTGTCTGGCGATGTCGAAATAAGAATAATTGTCTTGATGCCAAAAAGACCCAAACAGATTTTACTTTCATAAGTGGAGCAGTACGGCTATCGCCATAGTGTTCCGCTTGATTTATGCATATAAATAGCTTTACTATAATTATGCAGGGAGTTTTACAGATTATATGCTGCTGCACTTTATGAAATAGAAATGTTCCTTTTCCCTGCTAAACTGCTGCTCATTCACTGTCTGAAATCTGTATAAAAAAAATTCTGTTTTGTATACAAATAATAAAGTTGTCTAAGTCTAATAAACACTGAATAAAGAGCATCTTTGAACATCAGTTTTTACATTTTACAAACATTTCATGTTGTGATTTCAGCCTGTACTTTGAGGGGGCCATTCACTATCTGCCTTAAAAAAACATGTTCCAACGTAGCTCTAACTGTATGTACGTATGCTATTGTCTGTTGAAGCCTTTAACCTGCTTTCTTCCAGCATTGCCCTACTTTAAGCTCTATGCATCTTCCCATCACCTCAGACCAGACCTAGATCATCTAATCCAGCTGTAAAGCTCTGACAACAAGTTTAAAAAGTTTAACAGGTATAAATACATTTTTAGCATTTTGTAGATATTTTGTTTGATTTTATTTTTTATTAAAATGGACAGGAAGTAGAAACTTACAACAGCTAAAATATAAAGTCAATACAACAACCCTACAATAATTCTAAGAAACTCACTCTTTACTCACTCTTTACCAGGTTGACTTAAGGTGTGGGTAATACTGACAGATCTGCAATAATTAAATATCAACTAAAAGAAAACACAGATCAAATCTGTCCCATTCCCTGTAAAAACACAGTATTTATTCAGCTAGACACTCGTGCTCATGCACACAGCAGCAACGCCCTGTGGAAACAGCATGAAAACTGTTATTCAGGTTAACTAGATCAGGCATGCAGGAACTACAAGATAAAAACAGGCGATTCATTGAATACAAATGTCTGAAATACCATTGACTTGACTTTAAAAATTAAAATTGTGTCTCAGTCCATTCACAGGTGACAGGCTGAAAGTAGCACCTGTCTCCTGCCATGGGATTTTCAATAGAGAGATAAAACCGGATCTAGAGACTGTATCTTAAGGAAGTCAGTTACTGTTACACTAAAACCAGCTAGATAAATATCTAAATATCAACAAAGAATGAAAATGACATTGCAGACTGTATCAATCGGTTAGATGTAGACAAACATAAGTGATGACAAGTTGGAACTTGTCCCAGGAGAAGACGGAAACCTTTAAATGAGAAGAAACGGAAACAAAGTTTTCCTTGTTGATCAGCCAGTGACATCGACTGAAAACTAAAGAATAGAAATCATCTAAATGTGGAATTCTGCTGAGTGATTATGAAAAATACAGCAGATCAATGAGCCGTATTTGTTCATATTGTCTTAATCAGAGGTGTCCAAAGTGCGGCCCGGGAGCCATTTGTGGTCCTTGGAAGCAGAGGCGGTTTTGGATTAGTTTATGGGCATCTGCTACAGGTGACTTTAGAAAGAAGGAACACTGGCTACAGATACAATAAAAACATAGCTGCTCTGTTGTATAATAACAGATTAATTCCTTACTTTTTATTAATTTATGGGCTGGCAGAATGAGTAGCTTACATAGTGCCAAAACCGCTACTGCTTGGAAGGTATCTGAGCGTCCCGCAACCACAATTTAAAGATGATACAAACATGGCCCGTTAGGAATTAAAGGTAGACAGTTTAAAATTGAAAAAGTTACATACAACAAAAAAAATCAATCTTTTGTTTACCACGCACTTTGTATTTATTTTATTCTAATGATTTCTTGTGAGCACAAAAGATGCATTTGATTAAACACAGTAAGTATTTCCAAATGAACACATAAAACACATTTTCTAGACTAACAGAATAAAAACAAAACATTAGCAAAAAGCAAATAAATAATTGAAATGTGTTTTTAGTTTATTATTGAGCAAGTTCAAATAAGAAGATCAATTGAAAATCCATTTTTTATAGTAAAATGTAAACGTGTTCATCTTCACAATTTTGGAAGAAAAGTTTGGACACCACTGGTCTAAATAAAAACAGAAGCTGGTGCCGTGGTAACGGTGGTGCTGCTGAATGTTGGCAATGGTTGTGCTGATTGAAAACCTCTCTTGGAGGCAGCCGCTTTGCCCCCTCACACCAAAATAAAAAATAAAATAAAAGCCAAAGCAAAATCGAGCGAGCTTCTGCTCACCTGCTGTGCCTTTGAGGACAGAGGGGAAATGCAAAATGTATTTAAATAAGGGGTATTAAAACTCACAAACAAAAAATATATTCACAGACTCTCACATCCCGTTCAAAGCGCTTGCAGCATAAAAACACACCTCAATACAACATCTGGATTTAGGCATGAAAACTGACTAATCAAAATAAATTGTTATTTACATTGGTCTTATTCTAGCAATGACTTATCTGATAGGAACTGGGCATAAACACATCTGGACTGACATCTAGTGGTCTATTAAAGGACTACAACAGATTTAATACTATTTTCTTCTATATAAATATTCCATATTTACATTCACTTAGAAAATACTTAATTCAAAAACATGAAACACAAAAAAGACATAAAAACCAGAAATGCCTTTAAAGTCTGCAGTTATCTGTGATTAATTGGTAAATATCACAAGTTTAGAAACATTTACTCTAACTTACCCAACGTCACCCATGATACATCCTGTCCATTTATCAGGGCACTTACATTCACCTTATATAGACAAAAAAACAGAAATGAGGCTTTGAGTTCAGGTTTAAAGAAATTGAGAAAAAAACGAAGAAAGTTTCCTGCACATACCGTTAAGGATCCTCTTCTTGTCAGAAAAAATGCCGATGTTCTGACCCAAAGACTGAGCCAAGGTGACAGCCATCTCACCATGTTTACCGTACTGATGCAAACAGAGCGAAAACAAAACAGCATAAGTGCTAAGAAAAAAGAATATAACTATGAACTATATTCCACTGCATGTCTGATCAGAATCAAACACTCTGATCAGCCATCAGAAAACTCATGTATATCACTAAAGCCTCAGTTATAAAGCTACACTTGTCTAATTTTATCACAGTACAACAGGAAGCTAAATTGTATTTCAATGTGATTTTGTATGATAGACCAAGAAAAAATATGCTTTAATTTGAAATGGGGCTTTCCTCTCTGGTGAACACCAATAATCACCTCGATTGGGAAAAGTGCATAAATGGTCGTTAACCTTTTTGCCTACATGCAAAAGGCTGTGTGGATTAAAACTGGCCTTTTATGTCAAACTGACAAATCCATTCATATGGTAGGACATGGTGGTGGCAACATAATGCTGTGGGGATGCTTTTCTTTGGCAGGGAAAGGGTTCAGAATTAAGAAAGGGCAGATGGTGCTGATTGCAACACAGTTGTGGAAGATTCCTGCCAGAGGCTGAAAAAGATTTAAAACTGAGGGAGCAATTTTATGGTTTTTCCACATCTGCTTCACATCTATTTTATTTTATCTTTGCAGTTGTGGACCACTTTAGAGTTCCTTTGTCATAGAAAATTCTTATGAAATATAGAAATTTTTGGTTGAAATCTAACAAGATATGAATAAGTGGTTCATCTCACCTCATTGACTCCCCCTCCTTTGGTGAGAGAACAAACTCCTCCCATATAGGAGGCTGACCCCGAGCTGCTGCGAAACTGATTCCCTCTGCAAGTAAAAATTTGTGTTTCACAAACTAAAACTGTTCACATAAAACAACAAAAAACAAAATCCTCTTTCATGTCAGAAAGACTCACAAAAAGAGCTGAACAGAGTCACATTTCTCCTTGATGAAGTCCTTCCTGTACTTCATGAACTCCTTGAGCGTCACCATGGGATCGTCATCGATGTTGAACTTGTTGTCCACCGACCAGGTTTCCATAGCGACGAGAACAATCCGGGTGTTGAGCTGTTTCCGGAAAATCTGACCACGGCAGGATAGAGAGCGTTAATGGTCAAAGGCTCTGGAAGTCAAAAAAGCTTCATCTTCAAAGTCGCTGAGCGAGGAAGAATGATGAGGCCAGATCAGCGTGACAGCTGACAGACGCGTTTCATAATCAGGAAGGTCTCCAGCTGCTTATTATGACAGAAGTCAAAGCGCTGCTGTGATCCTGACACCAGACAGCCGCACATCACAGGAGACCAGACAGTCAACAAAGGTAACAGTCTGAAGGACAACACAGGCGAAGGCAAATATTTATGCTTGTGCCTTTGAAGTCTCCGCTGAGTTTTGTTTTATTAACGCAAACAGTGAAGAAGACCAAAAAGATTACATTAAAAGGAGAATGAAGAATCTGATATAGGAAGTATTTTTCACACTGATCTTCACCATTCTGTCAAACCAGTTCATTAATTTAGAAGAATTAGAATACAAGCAGATAATAGGAACACATAGACAATCTTCAGCACAGATTTTGCACCTAGGCTGTGCCGCTCTCCAAATGTAAACACTGGTTCTATCTATAATATAAAAACAAATATAGGTCAGAAGACCTGTGCTGCATATTGTCAACATAGGTTTATAGTGACATTTAGGTTGCCATTTACAAAGGATGTTGAGTAAAAGATAAGACATTAAGAGGTTTTTAATTGGATGAAATATTCTGGTTGATGTCTAATCTTTTTCCTTGTTACTTCTTCTTCTGTTACATGTTAGATCTGACCGGTTATCTTGGACTTTTTAATAGAACTGAAAATTAGATGTCTTAAGTCTTAAGTAAGATAATGATTCAGAAAACAGAGGAAATACCATAACAGAAATTAAATTAATATTCTTCCATGGTTATATTATCATCCAGATGGAGGCCCTATAGAAAATCGACTAGGTTAGGTAAGAAGAGGATAAGGTCCAGGATCCATGCTAGGATTGTTATAGCAAACTAAGTGCAGGACTACTGGTAAATACAGCACTACAAAAAAAATAAATGTAGAAGTTGGATTTTTTTTAACCCTTTCACTGATAAATGTGAGCATGGTATATTCCATTGCCTACACTATCTGGATAGTGTAGCATTCTGGGTCTAAATCAATATGTCCTTTGTGAACTCAGATGGTTCATACAAACATCTCCAAGGGCACGACAGAAAGTGTGACCTTTGTCACAGCCTCTCAGTTTACAGATGTAATCCTGCAGCCGGTCAGATTTCAGTAACACAGCAAGAGTATCAAGGCTGCAGAACAGATTCAGCATCAGAACCATTGGAATGCTGCAGCCTCCAGCCACAGAAATCTGACAACTCATCGTTGGTCGAGTTAATGGCTGCTTAAATCCCCATATTAGGGAGAAAGTAGAAATGGCTGGAGCAAGGCTGGTTAATTGATAAATCAGTGCAATGGGTGCCTGACCAGCTGGGGGAGATTGTGGCAAGCTTTCCAAGAAGAAGATCGATCCAGTTCCTACCATGTCAGCTAAATTGACCACTGTCTTAGCGTTGTGGTTCGTTTGCCCAACGGAAAGACGATGCCTCTTATACTGAAGGAGAAGAAAGACAGACAGAGGGGAGCGAGGGGGAGACACATAAAAGAGGGATTAATGTCCTAAAATCAATGGAATATAAAGTGTAAATGTAAAACCACATTAGTAAATATTTAACGTTTCCTTTTGTTTGACAGGCAACAATAAAGGATTACGTACAATAAAGATAAGCATTTAAAAAAATAAAGCCTTTTTAGTTGGCTTTTATGGTTTTCTAAATTCCCACAAACTTTTTAACACTCAACACTGCTAATTATTTGGTTCCTAGCCAGATATTAAAAAAACTTATTTTTAGAAATTTTAGATAAATTATCTTGTTTTAAGACATAATTTCTAATGCTTATTTCTAGATTTAAACATTTTAAATCAAGAAATCTTGTTAAGGAAAATTATCTTGCTGCATGAACAAATAATTTCACCAGGTTTGCAGCTTTTCCATGGGATAATTATTTTCATTTCATTTTAGAAACCCCTTTTTTGTAGTGAATGAATTATATAATAAAAAAGTTAAACATCTTTCACAAAAGCAGTGTAAATTAGGATATCTGGATAGATAATGACAAATGACTTTAATAGTCCATACATTTCTAAGAGTGACCCGGTTGAGCTGGTACTGGAAAAGTGAACATTAATCTGCCCAACCCAGTTTTGTTTGGATTAAGGATCATTCTTCCAGTTAAACCCTCATTTCTGTCTAAGTTTCAGCTGTTCATTTGAGGTACGATTAAATATTTAAAGGGGTGTCCCTGAATATCTCAAACATTACATCTTAAGGGGGCAGTTTTAGTATAACCAAAATCCCTGACATTGGTTTGGTATAAATCAAGGCATCTTCAGAATGTGGGCTCAGGTGTAGAAATATTTCAGTTTGGCAGTTTTTCACTGCATTACATTACATCTAACAGGCCTTATTTATGATATAACTGGAGCAGGTCCAGGTCTGAGAGAAAACACCTCTGCATACATGAACAACCTAAACCTTTTTATCTACGATGTTTCAATTCTTACCTCAGACTATTCAACAATGCAATGGTTTGAGGTAGTTCTCAGAGCCTACTCCAAAAATAACTTTGAAAATCAAAATTAAAAGCCCCAAAGTGTAAAGACATCAACATCCCTTAAGAAAATATGGAAACAAAAAGATTTAAAATGACAACTTACCATTACATGGTCATTGATCACCATAAGCTCTATGTATTTGGTTTCATCCTCTACACTGCGCGAAAAACGTTGAGCCTGAAAGTAGACAAAAGATTTATAATTTTTCCAGACAATTTTCTTCCAATGAGCAATTGCATTTTAATTAAAAATCTAGGAATAGCACATAAACCCAGTTATTCACTTGTGTTTCCATCAACACAAGGAAAAACAAACCCATAAGTAGGAATCTGCAAAAGTCAAACAAAACCAGCTTGTTCTTAGAACAAAAGGAACTTCAGGGGCTAAGATACAAAAACCTGCAGGTGTCTAAAAATCTGTGTTCAAAAGACAAGTCTCTACTTATGTGACAAATTCTGTATGAGACAAGAAAGGGGGGAGGATTAAAGAAAGAGGTTTTTGGACAAAAGGGCGAAGAGGTCTAAAAGGTCTTGTAGTGGTAAGTCACCTGTCCTGCAAACAGCAAGCCTGGGTTCATATCTTAGCTGGGGGGAATGAGCTGCCAGTGTGGGTCCTTAGACAAGACCCTTCACTCTAATCCCTGTTTTGGGGAGTGGAGGCCTAGTGGTTAGGGCATTGTGCTTGAGTTCAAGCCCCACTCCCACATACTGCCACTCTGGGTCCCTGAGCAACGACCCAACCCCCACACTGTTTCCCGGGCGCCACACAATGGCAGCCCACTGCTCCCCAGCGGGATGGGTTAAATGCATAGAGTTCATTTCGTATATCTGTACTTGTAACGGTGTGATGACAATGACAACTCTGGGGGGGAAAAAATCATTAGATTTTTGGCAACAAATAGCTTTAAAAGTTTACCTGTCTCTTTTTTCTCCAATGCACGACTTTTGACCCAGGAAAAGGAGGACTGGGTAAAGGTGGCTCCGGTAAATCTCCTGGTAAAGAAAAAGAGGATTTAGAAACAGTCCAACACATTCACTGTGTTCAACTTCGAGGCTGTAACCAGGAAAGGATGGGGGGCTCAATGACCACAATAAGTTGTGATTTTTGCTTATTGATTCATGCATTTTTTTCATCTCATTTAAATTAAATTCTCTGTCATGCAACAAAAAAGCAATAAGTCTCATAACTATATATATATATGATTTTTTTAACCAAAAAAATTATGTTGAAATAAATCCCAAGAAACCAATCCAAATCTCAAATAATAATAATAAAAATTTTAAAAAATCTTAATCTTTGGGTTCTTCCCAGGAAAACCGCAGCATTCCCAATTGAAACATACCCGAGTGAAAAGCGTGCTTTAAAGAATTAATTCAAAAGAAACAACACATAATTTTACTTCCATAGTTACCGGTAGACATTTGCCATTAAGCTCCTTAGTCATCCACTCACCACCAAAGATTTCACTCAGTTCCTCTTCTCCAGCAGATTTGTATATCATGTGAATGTCAAGTTCTCCCTAAAAAAAAAATGAGGGATGAGAAAAACAATCAGTTTACTAAAAATATAAAGATCACATCCATTACTTTTAAATACAAAACAAACGCTGTATATTAACTTGGTTTTGAATGTGTATTCTATTGAAGACCTGAAACTTCAGGAAGATGTTACTCTCCTGTGAGTCAGCGCTGAGGGCAGAAACACCCAGAGACGTTCAGATGCGACACCCTGTTAGCTGTGTTTACGGACGGCTTTAGCTTTAGCTAAGTTTGTCTTCAAGTATGTAAAAGGGATAATTCACAAATGTCACTTCATTCACTTTGATCTACGGCAGATATCTGGAAATATAAGGTATTTCATCCTATATTGAAATGGTAGATTTGTTTAATTTAAATAAGGGAGATGTTACAGGTCGCTACTGTAATGCTAACTTTGTTAGCTGTTGGCTAGCTGGCTAATTAGCATCCACAGATTGTGTCAAACAGAATAATTACCGCTCTGATAATTTTTGTACAGGTTAAATATCATGCTTTGGACATTTTAAATATATTAATAAGGGGTTTAAACGCTTGTTAGAGGTGGAAACTCGAAAATAGGTCGAGCCTGTTCGGTTCCTTGGCAAGCCTGTAATAATAGTTTAATTTTTATTTTTTCTGGTTCAAAAGATATTGTTCTTAATAGAAACATAAACTTTAAAAAAAAAAAAAAAAAAAACATACTTTTTTTTCTTATAGTTTTACTGTTACTACTATAAATATGTCAGGTAATAATTGATGCTCCAAACTTGGTGTTGCCCAAACAACAAATAAATTAGGTAAGTATTTATAGTCCACATTTTATACACTGAAATGCAACACAATCCTGTTTAAAGAAGTGAAACAGTTAACTAATATAACTGTAAAAGATTGAAAATGTTTTTATGTAAATACTAAATTATATTTGTCTGGCTACATGTGGCGTATAGACCCTAAACAAAGAGAAACATTAAACTCTGTGACAGATAAGAGATAAAATATAGAATACGGTAGTCAGTAAGTAAATAACTAATCTTAGCTCCCTGCAGCTCTTTCTGATGGCTGTGTCAAAAGTGAGGGTCATCATGAAGAGATTAATCTTTCAGAGAGAAATCTTCACTGTATCATTATCAAATTGATATAGGCATAAAAATAAATATCAGTTAAAAGTAAAATAAAAACATGGGGAATAATCTAGAGTTTTAATTTTAATGTATTAACAGAAAACCTGAGAGGTCTGAGTGGCTTAGAAGTCTTCCAGGGTAAATAAAACAAACAAAAAACCCTGACGAATACAAAAAGTGGAGTAGCAATAATTATAAAAAGGTAATTATAAAATTATAAAAAGATTACATTTCAAAAACAGATTGTGCAAAGTGTTAAATATAACATGGTTCAAGGGCAGAGAAACATATTTCAAGAGAAAAAGAGAAGCATAGTGTTAAAAAATCTAGCAAATACGAAATGCAATTTAATACATAAGTAAAACAGGTCACTAAAATAGTAAATTATGGGAAAAGTAACATTCAGAAAATATATTTAAAAAAAGAACAACAAAGTTTGATGGTGTGTACAAAAATATTCAAAAAGCAATGCTGAATTTCTAGATCAGATCCTTTCGTTAAACCAAAGATTCTACATTAATGTTGGATTAAGTATTATGTGACGGGTGTAGAAACTATCTGCTCTGGTGTCATAGATATGAAAAGTAATATTTAGAATGTATTTGCATGAATAGCTAACACATTAGAGATCATTTAAACTTTTTTATTCTGTTGATTTTCCACAGTCAACACATCTACGTTTGGGTGCTTGAGGTGCAAAAAATAATTATTTTCAAGTAATAGCTGAAAGAAAACAAAGAAAAGCAACATCAATCAAGAGAGAAATATACAAAGGAGACAGATAATAGTCTTATAAAGATATAATGGAAGGTTTCTGGAGCTGACACAGTTTGTCAAATCTTTCCCTACTTTAGTTGTGAAGCTGAATATATTATTAAAAGCTAGAAATTAGGCTGAGGCAGCACTCTTTGACTTCTGTGAGAAGAACTTTTCATATGCTTTAAAGATATTTACTAGTATTTGAGAAGTTGATCTCTGTGTTAACTGTATGCCAACTATACTGTATAATTTGTATCCCTGATAATCTCTCAGTACCTTTTTGTTTGAATCAACAAAGTTAGTTAAAGTATAAAGCAAGGTTCTGTCAGCACATAGACTTCAAGCTTTTTTTCTATTGCTTTTTGTTTAGCTGTAGAGCCTATGTGATGCAGTCTCATACAGTCATTCCCACTTTGTTTGCTAATTAAATGAGAGCATTGTCACTCAGGGACTGGAGATATTGGGTCAACTACATGCTGGTGAATAGATGTGTTATAGGGGTGGCCTGCAGCTAGGTCAGCATGTGCCACACATACTCCATCAGTAACAGGGTCAGTCAGTAAAGCTATAAAATATATTTTTTTTAATGGGTGTTTTAAAGCAGTAGGTCTGTTTCATATTGGAATAACTGGTTCTGTTGCTGCCTTATTGTGCTTATCCTGAAGTAGGAGCCCCGGTTCCAACCATCGAAAAAAACAACAGCCATGACGTGCCGGGATATCCACGCCACCAACGCCTTTGCCTTCATCATTGCCTTCGTATCAGTGGGTGGGATCACTGTGGCAGCGCTGATCCCACAGTGGCGCATCACCAGACTCATCACCTTTAATCGCAACACCAAGAATGTCACCGTGTACGACGGGCTGTGGGCTAAATGTGTAAAACAGGATGGGTATTCAGGATGTTACCACTATGACTCAGAGGTATTACTCTCTGATATTTTTATCTGCTTTTATAATTTCAGTGAATTCAGATCTGAAAACTCCTAAAATAGAAAACAAAAATTAATTGAAACAGGCCATTAGTATGGGTGAAGAACAATATAATTAAAGATATATGAGGATAGTGAAAGCAATTTTGTTAATGCTGTACTATAAATAAAAATATATCTGCATCCATAAATTTTTTTAAAAGGTTTTATTTACAAATGACAGGTCTAAAATGTTTACTAGTAACTGTACTCAAAAAATATGGATCCCTTAAAGTAAGACCTAATAGAAACCATTGCTTCTTCTTTTTCTTCTAGTGGTACTCCAAAGTCGACCAGCTGGATCTGCGGCTCCTGCAGTTTTGCCTTCCAACTGGCCTCTTTCTCGGCTCCCTAGCCTTGCTTCTTTCCATGTCTGGGATGTTTAAAACCTGCTGCTGCTCAGACAAGCCTGAGCCGGACATTAAGACCACCAGATTTATAGTAAACAGTGCAGGCTGCCATCTAGTGGCTGGGATGTTCTTGTTCCTCAGTGGAGCCGTCTCCATCGCGCCTTCAGTGTGGTTCCTGTTCCATACCAAGGAGATGAACCGTAAATATGCCAACATCTTCTCCAATGGGTTCGCTGTCTATGTATCCATAGGCTGCTCTGGAGGACTCATGTTAGCCGCGCTACTTACATTCATGTGGTATTGCATGTGTAAGAAGCTGCCTTCACCTTTCTGGTTGCCGCTGACTCCAATGTCTTCCTCTACTTCCACCCAACCTCTCACCGCCAACGGATTCCCTCCTTCCCCGGGTTATGGCCCGCAGCAATTCCCACCACAGGTGCTTCCCCCTACAGTCATCGAGACACAGCCTTTTGTGACTTCGCAGGGCTACATCCAAAACGCAATGGCCCCTGCACCTGGTCAGCTGTATATGTCTCAGGTTTCTGCTGCAGATGGGTATGGATCTGAGGTGGGAGGAAGCCAGGCTTACACCTACGCCCCTTCCCAGAGCTACGCACCATCGCAGAGCTACGCCCCTTCCCAGAGCTACGCGCCATCGCAGAGCTATGCCCCTTCCCAGAGCTACACACCGTCGCAGAGCTATGCACCTTCCCAGAGCTACGCCTCATCTCAGAGATATGCATCCAGTTACACAGGCCACCGTTACTCCAGCCGTTCACGGATGTCAGCCATAGAGATTGACATTCCTGTTCTTACCGAGCCAGAGTGAGCAGGAAGGATGATAACTAGAAAACACTAAAGGCCTCTGCCTATAGGGCACCAGAAAGTAGTGTGCTGATAAAACTAATAGACCCTGATTGATGAAAGCCATCTTTAGCCGCTTACAGTTTAAAAGGTCTATCCAAACAGTTAAGGTTTGTAGTGCTGATTATATAAGACGAGAGCCACCCCAAACAACACTACTGAATGAAGGACTGTGTGTGTGTGTGTGTATATATATATATATATATATATATATATATATATATATACACACAATATTTATAAATGAAAATGAAGATTCCTTAAACAATGTGTTTCTTATCATTATGAAAAGTAATTTCATTTAAATGTTTCCCACCAAAAAGGAAGCCAATTCCTGCCATACTCGTCACCTATGTTTTTCACTACTAGTTTTCCAGGTCTGTTGCAATAATAGACCTGGAAATAATAGTAGTGTAATACTTATCATTTCTTTCTAAATAAAATGGGAGCAGTCGACCAAATAATCCCAACAAACCTACCGTACTAGTTTAATGCATTCCCTTTACTGTTACATTCCCTCGGTCAGATAACTGTTGTGGAGGACTCTGTTATCACTATTGAGCATTAACACTGGCTACCTTCAACTCTATATTGTTTTCTGCACACTAATCTGTTAGCGTTTCTGTTTTGTTTTTTTCTCTAACAAGTTTATGTCACAGTGTCAATGTGAAGGGCAGCTGCCTTAATGCACTAATAATATGAAGACTGTACCAGTTTACTATTTGATTATTGTTCTTAGAGTTGTCCTTTTTAATGCGTAGCCTTTAACGTTGAAATCGTGGTGTAAAGTAAATAACACTCTGTGCTAAATCTGCCTTTTTAAATGCAAATTTTACATTAACTCTGGAAATGAATATTTGTGTCAAACTGAAGTATCTATATGAGGTGAACAGTGTGGAAGCCAAATGTAACCTCGTTGCCTATTGTATGCTTTGCATATTAAGTGCTGATCAATCTTTTTTTATTGTTTGGATCATATTCTGCTATATTCAGATCCATAATTCAATTGTGCTGTTTTTTTACACTGTCAACTCTTTGTTTTAAATAAATTACAAAACACCTGTGTGGATGTTTTTGAATGTAATCCATCATCCATCATAGGCAGAAATTATAGAGAAACTGTTTCCCCAACCAACTAAAACATTTGGACCAAGGTTAAACCTACCAACACAATAAAAATTAAACATTGCACACTTGGCACAGATAGGTCCCTGGTATTATTCATTCTAGCTGCACTTTTTGGATATGCTGTAGCCATAACATAAGAAACGTGATTTTGGTTTTTTTTATATTGAATTTCATATAGGTGTCCAAAATGAGCTCCATTGTGGTTCTTAAAGGAGAAGTTCGGTTTTTTACACTTTAAGCCCATTTTCTGTAGTGTCCAGGATGAAATCGAATGATCGACACCAAAAGTTTGACAATTGCTCCTGTCTCTGCTTTTTGGCTCATTTAGAATCAACCCCTGGCTGCTTTAGAATGGCTAGCATAGAGCATGTCCGATAATGTCCTTAAAACAACCTTAAACGTTCTTTTTTTAAAATATGCTACTCACCGTGTCGTCAGCGCTGTTCAATGACGTTCCAAAAAAAGTTTCGTAAAGAAAAAACGTTCCTGTAGTGTTTTATTTAGCATTTTGTAAATCCCATTGAGTTCTGTTGGAATAGTCAATATTCCGCTGCCACCGGAAACGGAAATGGGGCCTGTTTACACAGTTGTAGTCTTTTCGCTTCACTCTGTGTACTCCGACGTCGAGAATCAAGAATCCACCTTTCGTATTCCATTTTCAGAGTTTTTTAAAGTGTTTAACAGAGACGTTAGCACCTCGTTTTTCTGGAGATCTAAGTTGAAGAATTATCTAGAAATAATCTGGAATTCATCTTCTGAAGTAAAAAAGAAAATAACTTGAAAAAACATATTGGGTAAAATAGGCTTTATCTTTAAAACACATGCATATATAGAAAAGTACAAGTCAGAATAAACAAAGCACAGCAAAAACAAAAGATTGTATGTTGACTAATACAAAAAAGGCCTTGGAAGAGATTTTCTCTTTGCAAACAGCTTGACACGTAGCCCATCCCCCACCCTCCCATTCATCCAGTACTGCTGGAAAATAATTATTGTATCATAAAATTAAAACTTCTAAGTTTTGCATCTTTTAATTAATAATCAGCATTTGAATTAAGAAGACACTAGAACTCAGAATTCCTCCGCTGTTAATGTGTTCATTCTAGATTATGATGATCATTTATTATCAGTTTAATTCAAAGAAAGGGACACAACCAAGCCTTTGTGTTGTTTGTAGCACATCAACAGCCCTGGTCACCATTATCGAAGCACTTACATCTCAATTTGATGCTCTAATTTACTGTGTCTTTCTCTTTGTTTCTCAGACCATCATGAGAGCCAGTAATCCCAGTTCAAAAAGATAAACACGACGCACAGACTCAGCATGGTGGGTGTAAACGGCAGAGATTAGGGGTCAGCACAGATGGCTTTCATATGCTGGCGTAGGGAGACAAGGAGGGCGGGGTCTTGGTTGCCACGGGAGACAACACCTCACACAGGCGGCCAAATACAAAATGAATGAATACATGAATAGAAAAGCTGTGAGAAATGACATGCTTCTCATTCTCGCTGCCAGTGGATCTGTGAATGAGGTGGAACTGGTTGAGTTACTTGAACTTGGCCCCAGGTCACAGGGGAGCCCGTCTTGCTTTTCTTCCTCCTGTCAGCTCCACTATTATCCTCAGCTTGTGCTTATGTAAACTGTATGTCATCTGCCAACCAATGCAAATCCCCCTCCCAATGCAATAACCTGCCACCAGCCCCCCATCAGTAAACTCCTTTCAAATCATCACCTTCATCTTCAGTCATTCCCAAAGCCTGCTGTCTCCTCCGCTCAGATTCTCAGATCAACATACAGATATTTACTAAGACATTATTGGTATTGGAAAAATTCTAATAATAAACTTTCTTTTTAAATTATTTTAATTCAACACTGATTTATAGTGAAATATATCAAGGACTGATACAAATATGTAAGAACATTTATGGATCAGAGATTTTTGCTTGCATCTAATGCGCATCTGTTCAAAAGAAGAATATGCAGAAAAAAACGAATCCATTATCTCTAAAGCTTTAAATGACCTCAGGAGCCACTTATCCAGTAAATTGTTGAACAAAGTGGTTAAACAAAATAAAAATTATAAAAAATATTCCTCTTCTATGTAGACTAAGACTAGGCATACTTTCATTTTTAAATAAGGTATTCAAGCATGAATTTTGTGAGTACATCTATTTTGACGAAATGAATAATCAAGCAAACTGAACACACATCTATCCTTAATTTAAGGGAAAACTGGAAGAGGGTGAAGTTCTTATCCCCCCGTGGCACAACAAGGCAAGTTTATTTATACAGCACATTTCAGTGCTATATAAATAGCAGTGTCTTTCATCATGATGATTCAAAGTATTGTAAGTAATTGGAAAACATACAGGCACAAGTATATTTTAAGAAGTACTTCTTGGCTTTACCTTGGCCCTATTGTAGCTCTACCTTTCTTATACCTCGTACAAAATTGTTAGGATATGCTGAGCTATTTTCTGTATTTGTGCTGCTATATGTTTGGACTGCTGGATCACATAGGGACCACTTTTCCTCATTCCGCCTCATTCTATCTCTATTCTCCCACTCAGCAATATTTGTCAAGTTTCACTTATAACTTAATGTTCTCTCTGCTTTTTCCTCACCATAGTAGCTTCATTTGGTCTGTTCTTGTTTGGCTGTAAATCCATCCTGGACTGAAATATCAGCTGTGCTGCTGCAATTGGCATATCTGTTAATAGATATTGAAGCTTGGCCTGTTTCCAGTATAGTCATGTTTTTTTTGTTTTACAGTGAATAGCAGAATTGGCTTGGAGCTCGTCTGCCTGGCTGTGTCTTTCCTGGACGGGGCCACATCTGGCGCTGGTTTACAGCTACCCATTGTACCTCTGCATCTCTCTGTATGTCTGCTTCTGTCTCCTTGAACCCCAGTCGGCCGCAGCAGATGGCCGCTCGCATTGAGCCTGGTTCTGCTGGAGGTTTCTTCCTGTTAAAAGGGAGTTTTCCTCTCCACTGTCACTGCATGCATCCATGCTCGGTGTGAGAAATTGCTGAAGAGTCAATGAAATGCATGCAAAGGTCATCGCCACAGGCTCATCCAGGAGGAGTATGTCCTGCAAGTCAATGACTGAATGCAATCAGCTGGTTTTCCTAACCAACTTGACAGTATTGTCTCTGTCAAGTGCCTTGAGGTGACGTGTTGATAAGTAGCATTATATAAATAAACTGATTTAAAATTGAAGATTTAAAATAATAAAATAAAAAGATGGACCACTAACTTAAAATAATAATGTTTATATAGCACAGTCAAAGGCCACTCTAAAAATTTTAGTTCTTATTCTAAATTTAAAACAACTTTATGTTTTAGAACTTTCATAGTTTTCTGGGACTTATTCCAGATTAGTGGACCATAAGAAGTATAAGTGGCTTCTCTGTGTTTGGTTCTGGTTCTGGGTAGGCAGAGTAGATTTGAGCAAGACGACCTGAAAGGTCTGGATGGTTGATAAACTCACAAAAAGTCTGAAACATATATTTTGATGCTAAACTGTCAGTTCTACTATACTAACATATACACGAACAGAAGTATGAGGAGTTAGTGCAACGAACTTAGGTCTGGCGTAATATGCTCAATTCTCTTATTTTTAGTGAGGATACAGGCACCAGCATCCTGGATCAACTGCAGCTGTCGACATCGCTGCAGTAATCAATCAAACTTCAGATAAACACAATAATCAGTTTTCAAGGTGCTGCTGAGATATTAGCCCTTTAATCCTTGAGATCTTTAGGTGACAGAAGGCCGACTTTGCAACTGTCTTTATGTGCCTCAGGTCTGCGTCTGTCACCGCGCCCAGAGTTGGGATCTGATTAGTGGTTTTTAGTTTTATTAAGTGAATGTGTGTGCTAACTTCAAACCTCTCTTCTTTTGGTCCAAAAACTATTACTAAATCTTTTCAGGTTTTCTTTAACTGAATAAAATAATACAAGATGTTGAAACTTTATTCAGAACTAACAAAAACATAAGGATTCTATCTGTGTTGTATTTGTTGCAGCACAATTCTAATCTTTAACAATGGAAATTATTTTTGTTGTTACTTTAACTATAAAAAAATCCTGAAAACCATAAACCAGAATGATATAAAAACTCATGCTTCTTATATATTTTATTTTTAGAAACTGCAACATACAGTATGCCCTAACAAACACTGCTTAATCTCATTCCTCATTACAATCTACACTGCAAAAACAATCCAGAAATAAGTAAAAAATGGCTTAAATTAAGTATATTTAGCCTTAATTTGAGCAGGTATATAAGATGATTTGCCAATGGAATGAGTATTTTCACTCTTAAAATAAGATAGTTAGATAATATTTACTTGAAATAAGACGATAAAATAGTTTTTTCTTATTTTAAAAGGAAATTGTCTTGTTCCATTGGCAAAGTGTCTTACTTACCTCCTCAAATCAAGGAAAAACACACTTATTTTAAGAAAAAATAACTTATTGAGATTTATATTTTTTGCAGTGTAACAAGTAGAGGTTTACATCACTGGTTTTTACCAGTGTTGTAGATGTAGGGCAGGAGGGGTGAAAATATAAATGTATAATTAAGAGTCTGATGGAGAGAAAATGTGGAGCTTTCTTGATGTGGGAGTTAATGTCAAACCTGCAGTCCAATAGATAGTAATATAACCAAAAAATGTTTCTCCCTGCATGGGAATAAGCTGCTCTCAGCTTGTGGACCATACGTTTTTATATCACTAAATGGTGCAGCGAGCTTGTAAACACAAACCCAATTGAGCTGAGTTAAGTTGAAGGCTTTTCCGGGACACTTTATAATGGCATTGTGTGTAACTTTTTCTGCCTTGGTGGTAGAAGGACAGAAGGATTTACCATATGGTCAGCTGGACTCATGCTGACTCTGTGCTTTGGTCCTACTGAGGTTTTGTTTAAATGTG